TTGGACTAGGTGATTCTTGTAGATCTCTTCCAACTGAAATATTCTATTCTATCTCTGATTCTATTCTATTCTATTCTATTCTGTTCTGTTCTGTTCATCTTTTAGTAGAGCAAGTAGGATTTCTCCATTCTCAGCATTTCACAGGGGTGATAAAACCGGTAACTCCTCCACTGGTGTCTCATCGGCTTATTTTATATACTTTGGGGTTTTTTAGAGCTTAACTGCAGTGTTTAATACTTAAACAGTGTTGCTGGAGCTGTATGAATACTGTTTATAATTTCCATGTTACATTTTGAACACAGATATATTCCTGTGAATTTCTGACCAATAATGGAGCTATGTAAAACTACACCCTGTTCTTTCAGCAAGTTTAAATCCCTGCCATATCAACTCACACATCTGAAAACATTTGAAACATCTCAGAAACATTTGAAAATGAATTTATTTATAAATTCATGTGACTTCCTCTCCTTCATGAGATGTAACATTGTGTTCAAACGTGCAGTTGTGCATTCCCTCTGATTTAGTATTTGCTGATACTCCTTCTTTACTGCTGCTTCCTCGGAATTTGCATTTGTCCTCCTTGTCTTGTGCCAGAGCTTCTAATCTGTGATTAAATAAGTTTCCAAGCACAATCTTCCCTTTTTAGACTGCAAAATTAGTTTACATCATGAATGAAATAATAAAGTTGGTGTGGATGTAGCACTGTTGCTGTCCTACACTTCCTGTCTAAGTTTTCATGATTTGCTATGGAAAACAGCCTCAGAATTCTCTCAATTCCTTTTCCTGTTCACACTCTGGATTACTTCACAGTCTCACTAGTACACTGAGTGTAGCAGATTTGTCTACTTTCGAGATTTTAGTTATTTCTGTCCCTACAACTTCACTAGCAGACTCTCTTGTTCATTATTAACTTTTTTTTTATTCCTTTAAATCTCTCCTCTACCCCCTCACACCTAATCTTTTCCTCAGAAGAAGAAATTTTTAGTTACATTTTTGTGTTCCATGGGTTAGGGAAGGACCTCTGGAGGTTAATTGGACCAGCTCTCTGCTCAAAGCCGAACCTGTTTTGATGTTAGATCCCATTGCTTAGGTCCTTGTGCAGTTTAATTTTGAAAATTTCCAAAGACAGAGGTTTTGCAGTTCCACTGGACAGTCTGCTCCATTCCTTAATTCTAGAGAGTTCCAACTTGTCTGTTGCCTCTTCTCCTTTCACTTCGCACCTCTTAGAAGTAAAACCTCTTTTTAACTTACGTTGAGGCCAACCTTTTAGACTTCCGTAAGCTGAACAATTGCGGTTCTCTCAGCTTCTCTATGAGCATCATGTGGCTGCACCCTCTAAGCATCTTGATAGCCTTCCATTAAGGTAGGGAATATTTTTGATATTTTTCTTGCACTGAGGAGCCCAAAACTAAGCCTAGATCTCAGATGTGGACCTAAAAGTGACAGACAGAGGGGGAAAAGTCACTTCCCTCAAATTACTGCCTTATATGCAGTCAGTGTAAAGGCTTGCTGCTCATTCCCCTTTGTTCATCTTGTTGTCCACTGGGGCTCTCAGGTTGTCTTAAGGTGCCTTCTAGCTGGTGAGTGCCACCCTGTACTGTTGTGTGGTGGTGCTCTTAGCTACAGGACTCTGCATTTGCCTTTGTTGAACTTTGTGAGGTTCCCCTCAGCTCATTTGCCCAACTTTGAACCACTGACCATGATGACTCCAGCAAGTTTTCCAGCCATCGTGTAATTTCTCTTTTCAATCCCTGTCAACTTGGTTTGGCTACAAAGATACTTTGTATTGAAAGTTATGCTACAGTCAGGGGGAGGAGGTTTGTACTGCTCTTCTCTTGTCCACCAAGAGAGACATCTTATCATGAAGGGCAGTCAGGTCCTTTTTAGATCCATTGTGGCTGTCCCCAGCCTCTCTTGTCCATCAAGTGCTTGGAAGTGGATTCCAGAAGGACTTGCGCCACGAACATTGTGTGTAGCGAGGTTAGGCTGCTGTTCTAGCTTGTAGCTTTCTCGATTCTCTTTGTTGCCCTTCTAGCACACAGACGTGACATTTGCCCTCTACCAGTCATTGGGAGCCTCCCCAATTTGCCATGACCCCTGAAAGGTGATAGAGAGCAGCCTGGTGATGGTGTTGACTGGCTCCTTCAGCACACTCGGATGGATCCTGTGTTGTCTAGCGCCCTGCGTATGTCAGGTTTGCTGTATTGGGCCTTAACTCTGAATTCCTGTACTTCACCGCCCCTCACTGCTGTTAGCTTTGGGGAGCAGGGAGGTTTGTGTTCAGAGCTTGAGTGAAGTCTGAGGTAAAAAAGGCATCGAGTACCTTGATCTTCTCCATGTCCTTTGGCCTTAGGTCTCCTACCCCACTGAGAGCATTGGGACCACACTGAATCCTGCATTTTGGTCACGGCAACCCCACGCAACGCTACAGCCTTGGGGAAGGGTGGCTGGAAGGCTGTACGGCAGAAAAGGACCTGGGTGTTCTAATTGACAGCCGACTGAATATGAGCCAGCAGTGTGCCCAGGTGGCCAAGAAGGCCAACGGCATCCTGGCTTGTATTAGAAATTTTGTGACCAGCAGAAGGGAGGTGATTGTCCCTCTGTACTCAGCACTGGTGAGGCCGCACCTTGAGCATTGTGTTCAGTTTTGGTCACCTCAGTATAGGAGAGATCTCGAGGCGTTGGAGCGAGTGCAGAGGAGGGCAACAAAGCTGGTGAAGGGCCTGGAGAACAGGCCTTATGAGGAGCGATTGAGGGAGCTGGGTCTGTTCAGTTGGACAAAGAGGAGGCTGAGGGGGGATCTCATCATGCTCTACAGTTACTTGAAAGGACATTGTAGAGAGGTTGGTGCTGGTCTCTTCTCACAGGTAATTAGGGACAGAACCAGGGGGGATGGTTTCAAGTTGCAACAGGGCAGGTTTAGGCTGGACATTAGGAAGAAATTCTTCACAGAAAGAGTGGTCAGACACTGGAATAGACTGCCTAGGGAGGTGGTTGAGTCGCCATCCCTGGATGTGTTCAAGTGTCGTTTAGATGGGGTGTTGGGTGATATGGTTTAGGGGTGAACTTGTAGTGTAGGATTAATGGTTGGACTCAGTGACACCAAGGGTCCTTTCCAACCTGAGTTGTTCTATGGTTCTACGACCACGTTTGACTTATTCTTTTATTGCCAGTGTATTCATAAAGGCTCTCGTTTCCCTTCATAACCCTGGTGAGTTTCAGTTCCAGCTGAGCTTGACTTTTCTATTTGCATCCTTGCATGCCTGGGAGATTAATGCCGATTCCTGCTTCCATGGGATCAGCCACCCAGAAGTTCTTCACTTCTTGTGCTTGAGTTGCAGCACAGGTTGCCCATTCAGCCAGACCAGGTCCCTGCCGTGCTCAATTTCTAGCTAACTAGAACAGAGACTATTCGTGTGCTGGGAACATGTTGACTTTGAAGATCAGCCCACACTTTTACTCTCCACAGCAGCTCACCATGGGAACCTAACTCTGGGTTCCCTGAACAAGCTAAGGTCCAAAATCTGGTATTTTCATTCCTTGGTTCTCTCAGAGCCTTAAATTCCACCATCTCACAGTTGCTTTGGCCAAGGCTGCCACAGACTTTGTCATCCCTGACCAGTTCTTTCGTATTTGTGAGGGATGTGAGTGCATCCCTGATTGGGGTTGTTGCTCACCTGGGTCAAAAGAAATATTCTTGATGGTCACACATCTCCTGGATTGCCTGGAGCCTGCCAGGTTGTTCTTCATGAGTATGTAGGAGTCGTTCAACTATTTACTAGATGTTTGTAATCATTAACTCTCCACTGACAATGTCGTCTTTAATGTCATACTGAATTAACTGTATCTCTGATCCTTCTTTTCCACTTACTCCAGTCTGAGATCCCCTTCAGTGCCTTTCTTGGGATCAAATTCCAGTCTTTGATTCTAAATATGGATCTCACAATGTACACCTGTAATCCTGTCTGAGTGTAAGCATCCACAGCTTCTCATGCAATTTCATGCTCTTCCCTGGTAGAGTTCTTGCTCCAGCCAACTTGTTTTCTTCTTCTGCTAAGCTTCATAGGGACAGTGTTGCAGCTTGTCGCACTTCAGGAGGATTACCTCCAGTCTTATGGATTCCATTCTTTGCTCCTATTGTCTTTTGCCTTTGTGATGAGAGTAAATTTTGTAAATGCATTTAGCCAGGAGTCCATTCACTAGCCTGCTACATTTACAAATTTATAGAGTCTAGGACTTCGCATAGTTTCAGAATTTGCCAGAGGACAGAATTTCACTGATTTCCCCTACAGATTCCCATAACTCCCAACAGGAAAACACTGGAAGGCAGAGCTTACCTGGAGAATATTGCACAGAGGACACTTGAACAGAGCGTTGTAGACCTAATTTTCAAAAGTATAGAACTACACGTGCAGCGGACACTGAAAAGCATTTTGAGATGGCCAGTGGTCACACAGACGTGCATGAACTCGAATTAATATTTCGGATGGAACGAGCAGATTTGGTCATGGCCTTGCATGATCTGAAGCTGCACAAGAAGGTTGCCGAGTCGTGTTGCTCACTGGTTGCTGCTTGGGGCGCGAAGGAGCAGGTTGCACCTGCCAGGCTTCTGTGGGTGCCGCATACGTGACCCTGCTGCCTTATCGGTGCAGTGCCAGTGGGTCCTGGCAGCACAGCAGGTGGCCATGAATAATTGTCTGGAAATTGAAGATAGGCGCCTCTGGTTCTTTTCATTACCAGAGTCTTCCTGTAAGCTTGTGAATGATTATTAGAGGTGTGAAATGAGTCAGCAAAAGACATTTCAGCTGTTACGGCTAAAGGTGGACGATTAATGGTTTCCAAACAATAATTAATAATGAGTGCAGATTTAAAGAAATACCAAGAAGACTCTAAACATTTAAATAAAAATAGCCTATTTTGACTCAAAAAATGTTAGAGAAAGTTCTTGTGTACTGTTAATACATAGATTATCCCAATTTTTATTGGATTTGTTTTAGATGAGAAGATTGTGGAAAAAATCCGAGCTTTACAAATGAAGGCTGAAGACTATGATGTTGTTAAGGTGAAAGGCTTTTGGAGAAGTGCAACTGGTAAGAATGGAATGATTTAATGATTAAACACATTTACAGCTCTAGCCAAAATCTTCCTCAGTCTTGCACGCTTTATATCCAAAATTGCAGTCTTATAACGAGTGTTATTCGCGTTGTGCCATGACGTTATTTCTATGTGTAGTAAACAGTACAACCAAGTTTAAAACATGATGGATTGTTAGGAGAGGACGTGGGAAACAGTTTGCTGTCCTTTGACCAAAATGGAAAAGGCAATTCATGGCAATTCTAAGTTGGTTTTTTTTTTTTTTTTGGCCACAAGCATCGCTGTGTAATAGTATCTGAAACCTTTCTGTGAAAACACACGTTAACAGTGCAACAAAAAAAAATTGTTTTGCTCTTATAATTGTGGTTCTTGTATTGTATTTAACTGATATGCAAGATTTTTTAAGACTTAACATTCTCCACTGAACACTGTATCTTCTATAATATGTAATGTAAGAGTGAATTTGCTTTTTAAATTTATGTTGCAGAGAAATTGGTTTCTTTAGAAGTAATCAAAATATAAGTAGTAACTTAGTATTAGTCATACATAATCTGCTTTTCATTTCATTTAGATTTTTTTTTTTCTGGGCTTCCACATCATGCTGTGTGATAAATAGCCCCAAAATATAAGCCTACACATAAGATGGATTAATACGTTACTTCTGAAATAAGCTATGGATGTAAGTGTCAAATAGAACATGAGAATACAGACCCCAGGGGTAAGTTACCGTGAGCTAACAGGCAGCTGTGCTTCACCTGATCCATGATAATTTTCTGCATAAGCATTTCTAGAGGAACAGAGATGTGAAGCAAGTGAACAGAAAGGGGAGCAACTAATTTGCATCGGTTGAAGCTTGTTATTTTGTTACCAGAAGGTAACAAAAATCACCTCTTGACTTGTGCCTTTTGGCACAGAACGGAGGTTTTACTGTTCGGTGCTAATTTTGCACTAGGAAGCTGGCAAAATCACATTGTCTTGTCAAGTAAAGCAATTTTGAAAGATACAAAGGTATTTTGTAGGTTTGTTCAGGAATGTAGCAGAATCTTAGTTCCAAAGTGCTTATAGAAGGTGCACAGCATATAATGACTATCCATTTATAAATTTATTTGTATTTTATATATTAGTATTGACAAAATGGGTTGGAGAAAACCCTTGCGATTAGCCTAAGACCATTTGTGTGACTCAGGGGTAATTTGCAAATTTAGAAGTATTTCACATGGCAGTTAACAACATTTAATTAGCAATTTTTATTCATTTATGTCTCTTTTTAAGGCTACTTCATCAAAGTGTAGCAACATGAGAATTTAGCCCTGTCTTTCTTATGTCTTTCTGGGTCATTTGCACTTTGTTTTTATCCATAAAAAATTCTGAAATATGGAGAGGAGTATTTCCAAAGATCCTCATTCTTGAAAAAGACTTTAAAGAATTAATGTGTATCTTTATATGCTTTTATGTATTCAGGAGATAAAAAACAAACCCAGAACCTTCAGCAGGGCTTTACTGGCTTGAAAAAGGGCTGCTGCCGGGACCTGTGCAGGGAAGCAGTCTGCTCTTTCTCTTTTTACTGACAGTCATGTCAAATGATTTGTTTTAAAGTGTTGTGGTAGACATTGTTATCAGTATATATATCTACTTAAAGGAACTAGTAGAGACGTTCCTTTTTCATGCACTTGCATGGGCAGTCAGTGAAGAATTAAGTTGTTCAGAGTTCCTCGTCTGTTTGATGATGGAAAAAGAGAAGATCCCAGTAACAGAAGCCATGTTTATTTTTTGGGGTGTGTATTTGGCTGGCCAGGCAAACCCAATCCAGAGCATCACACTGATATTTGCTGGAAGCACGCAAGAGAATTGTATTTGTAATATGCTTTTAATATGCTTCAAAAATCAAAATACGTTGTTTTCTTAGGTATATTTGTAAGAACTTCGGGGTTTTTCTAAATAATTTTAACTTTCATTTTAACATTTAACTTCAAATATAAGTGCTTTGTTTTCACTTAGAATAGAAACTTTTTTTCTTAATTCACTGTCGTGTAATTTAAATTTCAAAGGAGAGATATTCTACAGTGTACATGCTGCAGTTAGGTAGTCTGAGGGGTCTGAAGACGAACTTCTCATTTACCTCATCATTGTAATGCAGTGGTAAAATGGGTAGTAACTTGGTCATATAATGATGGCTCTTTTTTTGTTGTTGTTATGGGTTGTGGGGTTTGCGGTTTTTTTATTTTAAACGAGCCCTTCAAGTCTCGAAGTAAAAAAAGCTCAAAGTCTTGAAGTAAAAAAAGGGAGCTTCTGTGTGTTCATATAGAGTTCTTCTGTACTTCAGGCCAATTTCTAAGAACGCTTTTTCTGGAATGCAAAAATATAAGTAGAAGTCACAGTGTTATACAGTCTTACAGCTAAAAAGCAGAGGGTTAACAAATACACCCACAGATAGGAACTAATATTAGCTGGTGATGAGGGCATACATACCTGGATTTTTTGCCTCACAAGGTATGATACAAGTTTAAACTATTGAGCTAGGCTATATCTATTTCTACTTCATTCAGAATGTTAACACCACAGTTGCAGATGATGGATTTGCAAGTAATCAAAATATTTTGCAACACATTCTGTGATCAAAATAGAAATTTGCTTCAGTGCAGGCAGAAAGAACCAAAAATAAAACATGATTAAGTACATGGGTTAAATTCATGAATGTCATGGTATCAGTGTGTGCCATTGTGTTTAAATATTTGTAATAGTTCAATGTAACAAGCCAAAAAATGGAGACATCAGCTTCCCAGATTCTAGCGAGAAGGAAAATGCTCTCTGCTCTTGTATCTTACAGCCAGATTTTTTTTAGAAGCCTCGCTTTCCCTCCCTTCTTCTCCCCTCCCAAATGAAAAAATCCAGTTCAGTAGAAAGAGATCAGATTACTCTGGTCTGAGCATCTGACTTTAGTGGAAAACCAATTTCCTTTTAACTCCAGAAGTATTAAACTCTACTCTTGAGCTCTGACTGCTGGCTTTGCGGGGTCCGTAGTGATGAGGAAAGTGAAGAAAATAATTGCCAGCTACCAGAGCACTGCTTCTCTCATGCAGTGCCGCAAATAAAAGAGACTGGTCTCTAGGTCAGACAGAAAAATTGAATTACGGTGCATAATATGTTACTGGTGGTTTACTCAGAAACAGTAATGTATGAAAGCACATCCTGAGTGCCTCTGGTTTGTTTTCACTTGAGGAAAAACCATCCTGATCTGAAATTGAAACATATCCGTAGTTTCTTCTCACAGGTCTGATCCCAAAGGGTTGAAACCTTGCAGTGACACAGCAGAGTTGCTTGATCATGTACTGGAGCAGAAAACTAAAGCAAGGCTAACTCTTTCTTGTGTTTGGGTAGTAAGGATGGTTCACAGTCTTTCTGAATAATTTTTCAGGGGTTACAAACCAGTGGTTGTCACAGCCTATGTAAAAAGGTGCTGGTTTAGTTTTTTCCATTAAGTGCTTTATTTACTATCTTTATTTCCTCAGATGCTGCTGCTGCACACTTCTGTGGTGATGCAAGTCAAGCAGTCATGGTCTGTTACCTGAAAATTTGTCAGGACATGAACTTTTGTACCCTATCTATAGGAATTTCTTAGAGCTCTCTGAAGTATTTTAGGATATTTGTGATTATTTCAAACTGTAGAGTTCATTTCACCACTCTGCTCCCCGATTTTCATTTTCTTTTGTCATAAAAGAGATTATACCATTGTCCTACCTTTTAAAAGATATATTTCATATATATGAGTTATATATGAATTATACCATTATCCTGCCTACTTTTTCTGCCTATTTTGAAAGCTGTTCTCAGTCTGATAACTTTAAATGGAAATGCTACTTTTTTTTTTGCCTGCAGATTGTCTTCTAAAGTGAATGCTATAGAAACTGTGGATGCAGTTTGTGTGTACTTGTTTCACGAAGGTCTTAGATCAATGAAGCAGAGGGGAGGGAAAATCTTACTTCCTAATGCATTTTCATAAGTTAATCAAGGCCACATTACGCAGTGCTGATGGCATGAAGGGATTTTCCTACCTATTTGGAGAGTTATTCTGGTGAGCTGCCGTTTAAATTTGGCAGTTCATTTAAACAGTTGGAAGAAGTGGAGACATCATGACGGTTTAATACATGAATAATCTGCTCTATGAGCCAATCTATGTACGTGCAAATATAGCTCTTGGGCGAGGAGCGCAGGGGCTCGCAGCTCAGCGGGCTGTCTCCAGGCGCGGTGGTGGTGGTAGGAGGAGTGAGATCACCAGTGGGTCTGTTCACCTGTGGGGCATGCCAAGACACACTCAGTCTTCAGGTGTGCCAGTACACTGCTTTGTTGCTTTGATTTCTTTATTTTTTTACAGAGAGTGAACCTTTCCTGACATTTTCTCAAGAAGAGATTTAGCCAACTAATAACCTATGGGTACTGCCTTAGAGAGGTGCACAGGCTGTGATTTCTGCTCCCCCTGCCCCTGTTTTACTTCGCTTTTCCTTGCCTCAGGCTGTGCTGAATTTTTGAGACTTTTTCTTCCGCCCAAATAGTGCGAGGCTATTATTCTTGTAAATGGGGGCAGCTATACTAACTACAGCCAGGCAAGAGTGCGTAATGATTTTAGGAATTGTAGGCTGCTAAATATATTGCAGAGCTTTAGAATCGTAGAATCATGGAAGAGTTTTGTTTTGGAAGAGACCTTGAAGATTATGGAGTCCAACCTTTGTCCTAGCCCTGTCAACACCACTAAACCATGTCCCTCAGCACGACATCTCCCATTTCTTAAACGCCTCCAGGGATGGTGACTCAACCACCTCCCTGGGCAGCCTGTTCCAGTGCTGGATTTTATGATCTCAGAGGTCTTTTCCAGCCTCAACAATTCTGTGATTCTGTAATGCCCAACTACCCTTTCAGTAAAGAAATTCCTCCTAATATCCAGCCTGAACCTCTCCTGGCGCGACTTAAGGCCATTTCCCCTCATCCTGTCACTTGCCACTGGGGAGAACAGACCAACCCCCGCCTCGCTACAACCTCCTGTCAGGTAGCTGTAGAGACCAGTAAGGTCTCCCCTCAGTCTCCTCTTCTCCAGGCTAAAGAGCCCCAAATCCCTCGGCAGTTCCATGTACAACAGATGCTTCAAATCCTTTACCAACTTGGCAGCCGCCTCCGTACACTCTCCAGCACCTCCGTGTCCAAAGCTGGACACGGTACTCGAGGTGAGGCCTCACCAAAGCTGAAAATACATCTTCAGTTAAGTAGTAGTAAGTAGGAGTAGTAAGAAGTCATATATTTTTATGACAGAAAATATATCTTCAATTAAACAGTATCTTTTTGAGGTTGCTCATCTTTGTGTTTCTTCTGGTTTTGAGCAGGGTTACAAAAGCTCTACTGTGCGGAGCGTAGTTTGTGCTGTACCACCAAGTCCTTGTAAATAATCCTGTGTGGGATTAGTAAATGGGAGGATGAGGTAGTTTCTCAAATCTCTTTTTTAGGACACCTTCACTAGCTGGATATTAAAATATACATGTTTCTGGGGTTGTTAATGCGTGAAGATAAGGTGTTTCTGGTTTGGTATTTGGTTAGAGGTTTTTTAACCTAGCCATACTGAAGATACTGGTCTGTTTTGAGAGATCACCCCTGTTGGCTTCATGAACATTAATGAAACATCTCCTCGGAGCAGGAGACTGATTCTCCTCAATTTATAGACCGAGTAGGTGCCTCCCTGAAGCATTGCACTGCAGACACAATGGACCTGAAACATTTACAGGTGTTCAGGAAAAAACCTAGTAGCATACTTAAACTGGGATGTCATGTAAAACTGAGAGGTTGAGAATATGGTTTATTTTATTAAACATGTTTTTAAACACACCAGGAAATAGTAACCATTTGGTTCTGATTTCACAAAGTAGTACACTAAGTTTTTATTTTAATGTGAAGAAAACATGCAGAAATTTGAGATTTTTTTTTCTGCTGACTCAGACATCTTAGAGCTGAGTACTTCTTACCTTGATTTCTGCAAGGAGCACTCAAGAATGTTAAAAAATGGTCCTTGAGTAGTTGTTTTATAAAGTAGCATAAATCTAATGTTTCATTAACAGAGTAATGAATTTACAGTCTGTACTTTAAGGATTTTATTTCATGTCCATATTTAGATGAAGGTTCCCAAAATATTTCAAAATTTTGTCGTAGAAGTTCAATTTTGGTTTTTCAACCAGATTGATGTTATTCATTTTACACCATTTGAAGTGAATTTAAGACCTGCTTAAGAAAAGAAATAGGAGCAGTCTTGAGAGATAGTGTTCAGAATAAGACAGTATAAGCAGACCTGCATTTTATTTCTTCTTACATGAAGGAACATTTGAAGGGAGAATAGACAAGCATTTCCTTCTTCTATAAACCTAATTATTTCATCTTTTCTTGTAGCATTGTGGGTGATTTGAAGTAGGCATATTCACTCAGAAAGTGTTAAGAGCAGCAGACCAGTTCTTTAGGGAGGGATGGTACTTTTCTCATTCTGAGTTTTGAGATGGGTTTTTTGCTTTTGGTTTGTTTTGCGGGTTTTTTTTAGCAGTTTCCATTTCAGTAAGCGAACTACTGCAGTCAGGAACTTTTTTTTATGCTCGTCGCCATAGTGAGGAAGAACTTACGCTTCCATCGGTGCATCTGCAATGAAACGGCTCCCTCCTGAGAGTTCCCACAGCCCTCAGACACGTCTTTCTTCTTCCTAGAAATACCATGGAATGATTCAGGATGGAAGGGACCTTAAAGATCATCTCGTTCCAGCCCCTGCCACAGGCAGGGACACCTCTCTCACCAGATCGGGTTGCTCAAAGCCCCATCCAGCCTGGCCTTGAACACTTCCAGGGATGGGGCATCCACAGCTTCTCTGGGCAACCTGTTCCATTCTCGTGGCCCAGCGGCTCCTTTTCTGGGGTTGCAGCGGCAGCTGCAGCAGTTGGCCAGGCTCTGGCATATCTTCCTTCACTTGGCATCCTTCTTGTGCCATCCCTGCTACGTTTTGTCAAGCAACTGTTAGATTTTTCTTTCCAGATTTGGAAGTTCTCAAATCCTCACTGTGTAAAAAACAGAGTATATGAAGACCCGGAGGTGTTGCATCCCAGAAAGCAGTTTGCATGTAGGAGATAATTGCTATGCTGGTACTCAAGGTTTTTTTACAAGACATTTTTAAAAAGTTGCATGTTTTCTTCTTCAACCAACAGGTTCGCCATAAAATGACACAGAAGGTTTATGCAATGAAGCTACTTAGTAAATTTGAAATGATCAAGAGATCAGATTCAGCCTTTTTCTGGGAAGAAAGAGATATCATGGCCTTTGCCAACAGTCCGTGGGTGGTTCAGGTAAGGAAGATATGTAAGAGTGAAATAATAATACTATTAATAAAGCCATAAATCTTACCCAGTCTTGAGCTAGTTTTGAGTTTGCATCTAAAGTCAAATCATGGTTTGGGTTCAGATTGTATTTTTTAAGAAGTACATTATTAGCAGCAATTCCACTGAGTTTTGTTTATGTAGCTGTGCTAGAAAGTAGATTGATTTATATTTTAGTCACTACAAATGCATCACAAACCAGAATTAAACAGGTTCTTGAAACATCCACGTAGTTATTTGGAAGAATAGAGAGGTTACCTTTCCATCTAAGAAAAACTGCACAGAAGCATAGAAACAAATGTCAACATTATTTCTGTCTTTCCTCGTGTTCAAGTCAGTCGATCACAGGCGATCGGTACGGAGTGTTTTAAGTGGTTACTGTCATTCCAGCTGCAGTTTGGCAGATGGCTGAGTGAACACTCCTGCTCTCCTGCTAGACACGGGGCTGTAGCAGTGGTTTACGTGAAACCGCCTTGTGTTTAGTGGTCAGTCACTGCCCCTCAGCTCGGAAGTAATATCCTTGTAATAAACAGTTGACTTCTTGGCTGGTCGTGCACATCGTTTCTTGCACCTGTCTCGTAACAGACAGTCATTGTGTTTTTAAAGTTAATTGTGCCTTCGGGAAGAACTAGCGTTGAGTATTGCAATATGTTGTAACTGGTAAATTACACCAATTAATAAAAAGAGTAGTGAAATAGTTAGTACTTCATTTAGTTAAATAATTAATACATTTAAATGCTCTCACATATATTGCCTTGCTTCTGCATATTTAATAACTAAAGACTGGCCTCAAGCTTTCCATGTATTCTTTAAAACACTTCAGCTCGTGTGTGCACAAAAATGTTTTGCATGGCTTTATTATTTAGATATTTTGCTCTTCTGAGCATTTTCTCTGTTCTTGCCCTTATTTTCCAGAAATACTTAATCAAATAGATGAATTTTTATTCAGTTCTTTGGTTTTGTTCTAATTCTGGAATTAATTTTATTTTTTTGCACGCAGTCAAAATTAATGAGAAATGTCCAATACTCAGTTTTAAAAGAAGGTGTCACAAGCATAATATAAATGTGTGTGTATTTGTAAACAGCAAATGAATTAAAGTGTAGTTGCAGCTGTGCCTTCTCTGATGAAATATATTTGGGTAATGTGCTCCAGTGGGATAGGACATTGAGCTGGTTTTAAGAAAATGTAGGTCCTATTCTGAGAAAGAAACTGGGGCAGATCACACTACTTCTCTGTGCCTCCTTCTTTTTTTGTGAAAAGCAAGTGAAACCAGAGCTCTAGATAATTTTGAATTTGTTTTTTAAAATGAAATACCTTAAAGGCAACAGAAGTGCTGTATGAAGGCACAGTGTTGGTATTTATTACTGTATTATATTTCTACCTTTATATATGAGAATATAGAGAGCATTTTGGATTTTAAATTAGATTTTAATGACCAAATGTGTTATCATATTATGTATCGTATACACTATCCGTTTGTGAAAACAGGTAAGCGCGATCATAGAATCATAGGTCAAATCACATTAATAATGTTCCTGCCTTTCGTGACTCCTCATCCTCCACAAACAAACTCCCTGGTTTTGATTTCTTCCGTTCCTTTTTTTTCCAATAGCCTTTGAATTTTGTGTGGGTAACTTAAAGATGTGAATGATTTTAGTTTTTAGTGTAAAGGAGCAGTATATCCTAAGAAGTAAGATGAGAGACTTTCAGAGGCTTCTTCGTAGCAGCCGTCAAACATTTGATAGTGATGATTTTTGCTGGGTTGGACCATTTTCAGACTTGATGATCGCTGGGTGAAATCTGTAAAATTTCAGCAGTCTTAAGTCTGAAGTACATTTATAAGAGACACAGTTTACTTCCACTGTTGTGCCAGTAGGAAACAATACTAACTGCAACCTATACCAGACTGTTATTTTATTGTTAAGGATAAATTTCTTTGTATTGAGTTGTCTTCAGAAACATTTTTTTTTCTTTCTTATTTTAATATATGTGTTGATTTCGGACAAAATCAATAGTGACAATGTAAATATGAACAGAGATAACGATATTTATAGTATATAAAATTTAGAAACAGTCCAAGAGGCTATTCACTGTTGAGCTACTTTCAAGTCAGTACATGATTCTCCTGTTCCTGGATTCAATATTTTGCATTTTGACTCAGTGATAGTTTTTAATGCCAAGAAACATGGATATATAGAAGGCCGTATTACTAAAACAAACAGGAATTCTTTTTTACGTCATTACAAATGAAGATGAAGGTGTTTTGAAATTCAATAAATTTCAAGGAACTGTCATAATTAATAGAAGATGTATGTTTTCTGAATATAAATGTGAAGGTACTTTACATCAGTCTTGAAAACGTATTCAATCTTTAAGAAACTTCAAGATCAAGTGCTTTATTCTGTTCCTTAGCTGTCTCAGAAAAGTATAATTGCGCTTCTTTCTCTTTTTTTCTAACGTTGCAGCTATTTTGTGCCTTTCAAGATGACAAGTACTTGTACATGGTAATGGAATACATGCCAGGTGGAGATCTCGTAAACCTTATGAGCAATTACGATGTGCCTGAGAAATGGGCCAAGTTCTACACAGCCGAAGTTGTTCTGGCCCTTGATGCAATTCACTCCATGGGCTTGATACACAGAGATGTGAAGCCTGACAATATGCTTTTAGATAAATACGGGCATCTGAAGCTGGCAGATTTTGGCACTTGCATGAAAATGGATGAAGTAAGTATGCAACTGAATAATTTATCATCTCTAAAACTGTAATTTGAAAGTCATCTTCTTAGGAATTGTAATACCCAGAGGAATATTCGTTAAAAGGTTGGAAAGCTGTTCCTTGTCTCCCAGTTTTAAGTACAAGGGTACTTTTAAATAGTGTAACATTGTCTATAATAAACTGTTCTGGCACACGGAAGGAGGATGTGAACTTACCTTTCGTTATTTCTCAAAGTGTGTGTGTTTACAAGTTTCTGAGGTTGATTTTTTTTTTTTTGGCCAAATGTCTGAAAGGCTTGTGAGACAACTAGTTTTAACATTAGTAACCTTGGAACAGTTCTTAAACTGGTGTTTTTCTGTAAGTAAAATGATTTTACAGGCAAAATACAGTCCCTTTTTTTTTTTACTGTGTCTAATTGTTCTCATAGCATCCTCTAGTGGTCATTAAAATGAGGTCACAGTAAGGCAGCAGTGGTATGTGATATTCTGGTTAAAATTTGTTAACTGTTTGTCAAGATGTCGTGTATTTTAGTTGTCCAGATTTTACCATGTACAGCCAAATACACAGTTTTCTAATGAGATTGCATAAAAATATTTTCTTTTTAGCAAAATATAATACTTTATGTTATTAAAGGAGACATAAAAATAAAGCAAGTTTTGTAGTTTGCACTTTTAAAATCTTCCCTGACAATGTTATGCTGTAATGCATACATCATATTCTTCCTGTGAAAAATGACAACAGATTCTAAAAAAGGCTCTGTATGGATATGTGTTCTGATTTGTTTGGCCTTTGAAAGATTTCTGCAATAATGTTGGCAAGGATAGTCCTTTAATGTGTTCAGTTTTCCTCTGTATTGTTTAGGCAGCTCTTGGTGTAATCTCTTCAATCTACTTAATTTGCATTTCAATTATTAAGTTAATGCCTCTTCAGCTGTATCTCCAAGTACTGTCTCTGCTTAGGATTTTTTCTTTCTTCTTTCCTGTGGCAAAATATTAACTTAGTTGATCAACTACAGCTGTTTATTGAGGTTCAGTAGTCTGTTTAGTTTTGATGAATTGTATTTGTTGTTGTAAAGGCAGACAGATTATTTACCTCCACTTTGGTAATTTACTTGCCTGTATTTTAGGGGACAGCATTTAATTTAATTTAATTGAAAAAATGAAAAGTAGTGCTTGATTTCTTAAGTTAGTCCTAAAAAAATTACCTTGGTATTGAGCCAAAGGACTGTGAGTCTTAAGGGAATCTGATGTTCATCAGAAGAGGCAATTAAAAAAGCATCAAAAAGTTCATAATATAAATCTACCCAAAAAATTATGTTTCAGGGAGTCCTCTAGGGACCCCAGAAATGGATATCTTTTTTTTCTTTTTTTTTCTCTTTAATTCTTGTTGTTAAAAGAATGAAATACTAAAATGTGATTGATTGTATTATAAATGTGAGAAGTGCATGCACATTTCTCATAAAAATTTATAGTGAGCTCCGATTTGGACTGAGAATCATCAATGAACCAGTGATCTCCTAAAGAAATTAATTTTATAACAGATCTTATTTTAAGTTCTTCATGTTTCTCAGACTCAGTGGAATGGCAAAAATCTTTTATACAGGAAGCTTTAGAAGTTGAGAGGTTCTGGATTGTCTCCAAAGCTCATGCTACTTCTTGCAAAACATGAACACTTACCAGCTGTGTAAATATAATATTGATGTTGGCAGGATGATTTCTAGAAAATACATGCTTACCCGATGCTTATTTATTTTTTCTGATTTGGAGACTTTTTTGACCTTTGCTGGGGAATACAATTCAGTGTCTGCTTAAGTCTTCCAGGCCGGCCCAGACCCTTGCAGCAGAATTCCTCCTTACCAGTATGTGAAGAGAATTGCCAAGTGTTTCAGTGATCTTGTCCAGCATAAAAGGAACTGACTTATTTATATAACTCAGTTATCATGGTTTTGATGTCTGTGGGGTTTTTTGATTTTTTTAGTTACTTTAAAATCTGCAAAAAGCTGCTTATTTCTATAATTGAATCAATAATAGAGTGGGCCTCAGAAGTTTAGTAAGAATTTAGTTCCCTTTTGGTATCGAGGTATGATAAGGTAGCCCAGGGCAGGTTTCACCAAACCCTACTTTTCAGGTTTTCTGTAAGAAAAAAAGACAATAGTTGGCTGTGGTAGGTATCGTAGAGCCAAGAGCTCCTAATGTGCCAGGCTGGGTACATGGTGCTGTCTTGTGCTTAGCTTTGGGACCCCCACAGGTTTAAGAGGTATCTGGTGCAAGAAGGGATGTTTGCCATTTAGGGTTGTCACCTTGGCGCAGGCTGTGTAGCTGAAAGAAGGAACACGTTCCTCATTTTAGAACTGAACTTCTCTCTAACTGAAGCTCGTCCAAGGCTCTGTTGGATCCTTCTTGCTTCAGTCCATCGTCTGCACATTCACTGCACAAGCCCTTTCTGATCTGAGCTCTCCTAATGTTTCCCCACAAGCACTCTGCAGCTCTTATTGACTGAAATGAACTTCAGGAGGGAGTGCAAGCTTGATTCTCAGCCTTAGTTCAAGACAGGGGGTCTCAAGACAGTTCAGGTCTGATGGAGGTCCTCCTGAGGGTGAAACCCAAACTGCTTAGTTTTCAGCAATATAATAATTCTGAATGATGCTAGGAGTCACAGCAGCCTTACAGCCAAGTTGCCATAAGCTGTGAGGACATGCTGTGTGTCCTGGACAGCCTTTTTTAAAATTCTGTGCTGCACATCTCTCACATAGCTGCAGGAGATGAGTTCCAAGATCCTCCTTGATCTTTTGAGATAATGAGAAAAGTCTCCAGTAGAACATTGACCTGAGACTCCCAAAAGAGAACTTTGTACGAGAACTGCTGTAAGCTACTTCGGCATAAACCAGAGGCTTAGGGTTTGAAACACAGGAGTTACACTTTGTCCAGAGAAAACAGCACCCTTTGAATCTCTTCAGATGCTGAAGTGCAGAAGTCACTGTGCAGAATGGAGGGACTGTCCAGATGCCACATACTGCACAGAGCGACCTTACCTGTTTACTTGGCTTTGATGCCAGAGATCAGAGGATCTAGTCCGATTGTAGTATGAAGAGTATCCGGTGCTTAAAAATACACACAGAACAACACCCAACTGCTTTGAAAGAACAAGTGTGTGAACAAGAGGAACAGAAATCTGGGAATATTGTATTCGGATGGTCATGGACCAGCCTCCCCAGAGATGTGATAGGATCCCAGTTGCTGGAGGTTTCCAAGGTGCGGTCGAACGGGATGCTAGATAGTCTCATCTAGGCTCCCTTTCCCCATGACAGGTTGGGCCAGAGGATTCTTCAAGGTCCCTTCTAACCCAGGCGGTTCCACGATTCCGTGAATGCATTTTTAATTTTGTTGCTGAGACACAAAGTAGAGAGTTTTTCAGGGAGTCAGTACAACAACTGACGAACTTGAGTTTTTGCCTGCCAGTTCATGACTTCCCAGGATTCTGGTTTACTATGTGAATAAAAGCAGTTCATATTGTGTGTGAAAAGAAGTGTTGCGATTCACTATCTTAATTTTTACATGTCAATACCATTTCCAAAGCAAAATATTTGTCTTCCTTCTTTATGTACTTTGGCTTTAGTTGTTGCTACTAATATTCTGTATTAATATTTTTTTTTAATTTAAATTTTTAAACTTTGTAAGAGGACTTAGAATAGATTTCAGGTTGAGAGAATAAAAGATGAGTGTGTTTTTGATACTTCTGTAACTTCATCCAGGATTTAATTTCTTTCATCCATCTAGTCTCTCTGGAATGAATGCAGTGAATTTGATTAAAGGAAACAAAGCTTCTAAGTCTGAACCAGCATGCTGGCAGATCTGATGATGCTTCTGCGTCATTTAGCTCCTGCATTTTTAGTCTCTCATTGTGAAGCAAAGAGGATGAATAATCATACCATTTATGTTAATAAAAATCACTTTAAAAAAAACCCCCGACAACTTTGCTATTCTTTAATAATAGCTTTTCCTTTTTTTTTGTAGTAAAAACCAAGGTGTGACTATAAAAATTTGCCTATAACTTGATTTATTATCTGAAATAGACAAAACTGTTAAGTCTCTTCTTTGTAGGGCCTAGAACTCATAGATTGTCAAAATTATTCTGTAGTTTGTCCCCAAATTCAGTGAGATAAGGAGCAGTCCAGTACAGTGTGTAGCTTCACATTGAAAATAGTGATTAAAAGTAATAAAATTGATCTGGAGTAAAAAATACAGTCTTGCAAACATATTCCTCAAACCAAATATTTTGGGCTGGATATTTTATGTTTTTCTGGTTTAGTAATAGTTGAATTGTTTAAAGCCCTAGAAGTGTTTTTGACCTGTGTGACTTGGTACTGTTGCACAGACAGGTATGGTGCGCTGCGACACAGCTGTGGGAACCCCCGACTACATATCGCCCGAAGTTTTGAAATCACAAGGGGGTGATGGTTACTATGGACGGGAATGTGACTGGTGGTCTGTAGGAGTTTTCCTTTTTGAGATGCTCGTTGGTAAGTAGTCATTTCTTCTGCTAATGAAATTAGCACTGTGTCTTTACTGTGCCTTTAACTGTACTTTAGAATCATAGAATGTTTTGGGATGGAAGGGAAAGGTCATCTAATCCAACCCCTGGGCAGTGAGCAGCGATATCTTCACTAGATCAGGTTGCTCAAAGCCTCGTCCAACCTGACCTTGAATTTTTCCAGGGATGGGACTTCTGCCACCTCTGGGCAACCTGTTCCTGTGTTTTGCTACCCTCATAGTAAAAATTTCTTTCTTGTACCTAATCTAAATCTATCCTTTTTTAGTTTAAAACCATTATGCCTTGTTATGTCGCAATAGGCCTTGCTAAAAGGATTGTCTCCATCTTTCTCATAGGTCTCCTTTAAGTACTGAAAGGCTGCAGTAAGGTCCTCCCAGACCCTTCTCTTCTCCAGGCTAACACCAGCTCTCTCAACCTGCCCTCATAGGAGAGGTGCTGCAGCCCTCAGATCATTTTTTTGGCCTCCTCTGGACCTGCTCCAACAGGTCCGTGTCCCTCTTGTGCTGAGGACTCCAGAGCTGGACACGGAGTCTCACCAGAGCAGAGGGGCAGAATGATCTCTCTTGGCTGCTGTCCACACTTCTTTTGATGTAGCCCAGGATGCGATTGGCCTCCTGGGCTGTGAGCTCACATTGCTGGCTCACATCCATCTCTTTATCCACCAACACCTCCAAGTCGTTCTCTGCTGGGCTGCTCTCGATGCCTCCATTCCCCCAGCCTCTTTTGGTACTGAGGGTTGCCCTGACCCAGCTGCAGGACCTTGCACTTGGCGTTGTTGAAATTCAGGAGGTTCACATGGACCCCTTTCACCAGGTTATCTGGGTCCCTCTGAATGATGTCCCGTCCCTCTGGTTATGTCAACGGCACCACTCAGCTTGGTGTAATCTGTAAATTTGCTGAGGGCGTACTTAATCCCACTGTCTGTCATTGCTGAAGATATTAAACAGCACAGGTCTTGATGTGGATCCCTGAGGGACACCACTTGTCACTCCATCTGGACATCGAGCCATGACCACTACCCTCTGGGTGCAACCATCTGACCAATTCGTCATCCACCAAATGGTCCACCCATCAAATCCATCTCTCTGCAATTTAGAGAGAAGGATGTTGTGAGGGGCCATGCCAGAGCCATTACAGGAGTCCAGACAGATGACATCTGTAGCTCTTCCCTTGTCCACTGACGTAGTCGCTGCATCGTGGAAAGCCACTGGGTTGGTCAGGCAGGACTTGCCGTTGGTGAAGCCATGCTGGCTGTCTCGTATCACCTTCCTGTGCTCCATGTGCCTTAGCAGAGCTTCAGTAGGATCTGCTCCACGATCCTCCCAGGCACAGAGATGAGGTAGTTCCCTCTTTTGTACCGTTTTTAAAGATGGGTGTAATCTTTCCCTTCTTCCAGTCCTCAGGGACTTCCTCTGGCTGCTGGGCTTTGCTGCTGGGGGGCTCGTTGTACCTCTGACAGTTGCTTCTGACTTTTGGCTGATGCTGATGCCTCATTCCTTTTCTCTTTGCTCCGTCCCTCTTAGGCTGCGACAGCTGTTTGCGTGCTTGCTCAGTGATTAGTTCCCTGGCTCAGTTCAGCTTAAAACTAATTCTTAGAATAGTTTTAACTGGGGTCAACTACTTCCTTCACCATCTCATGAACGTTTGTGCCACCCCAGGGGCAGTGCTGAGTTTTCAGGGGTGCAAAGATGGAAACGGAGTAGGCAGGGCAGGACTGCCCTTTTTTTTTCTTTTTTTCTTTTTTTTTTTTCTTTTGGACATCTGTGTCTGTCCATCTCTTCCTCATCCCCCCATTTTCTTTCACAAGCATTATCAGTGGCTGAAGTGAAAATGACTGTGGAGGGTATGGCTTGATTCTTTCTTTTCTGCTTGAGTCAGGATTTTCCAGTAAAATACACTGGAGTGCTATGGCAACAAACGTAGACTATAATCTCTTAAGGACGTGAGTCATTTGCATCTTAAAATACAGTGAGGATCAGTATTATAGTCTGGTAGCAAAATAATGGTTATAGAAAGATGGAATTGAGCATATAATTATTAAAAATCCAAATCAGCATGTTCTGGGAATATTGCCGATTTGATGTTTCTGGTATCGTGAGCTAGGAAAGACATTTGGAGATACAATTTTATTTTAACCCCTGTATCTTTCAGAATTAAGGCATTTTGACTTTTAAAAAGCATATTTTATAATTAATAGTCTCTCATAAACAATTTTAGCAATAAAAATTCTTCAGTTACTAAAATATTGGACGTAGATGTGCAGAATATTTTCTCAGAACATTTATTTGTCTTCCCTCTTGTATCTTAAGAGGGAGAATTCTCCCCATTTCATTCTTGTAATGAAAACATTTTTTTCAAGTGAAATCTTTCTCACTTTCTCTGTATCCCGCACATAGGTAGAAAGTATCTATTTTTGTTTGTGTTTACATGTCAGATTCTTCCCCCTGGTCTTCTAAAATTCTATACTTTAAAGAAGTCACAGAAAGTGATCTGTTGTTCTGATTTTAATAAAGACACGGTACCAGTGAAAAAGATACTAGTTTTTATTGTGCGGTCAATGAAAAGCTGAGATGTTGGTGACAGGATAAATCCTGACATCAGTTTGATGACGTTAGGTAATTTGGTGGTGTGGCTTAAGAGGGAGGTGGCAGCAAATGTCAGTGATCCCCCCCTCCAATGTACTGGTATGACAACCTCACCAATTTACTAAAAGGTGTACTAATTTCTTATTTTGTCATGAAACGACAGGAAGAGGCTAAAGGTAGGATTGTTGTGTTTATATTCTTTGTAAAAGCCCAGTGGGTTTTGTCTGTTGGTGTGTTTGCACGTTTTTGTCATGTGCCTGGCTTCTGAAATTTTCAGTACGTTGTTGGAAGCGGTCAGGTGAGCGTGCTGGCCGCACTGCCTGGGGATCCCTGCCGGCACGCAGGGTGCCAGGACGGAGGAAAGAGCTTCGTTGATGCCTTTGATTGTTCCCTTCTCTATTAAACACGTGGATTAGTTGTGAGAAAGGATTTATGTGCAAGCTACAGCCTTGGTTACGGCCCCAGCCCATTCGTATTTTCAGAATGGTGTCAGTTAACATGAACATCAGTTACCTTTATCATTACTGATTCTTTCTAGTTGTCACAATTTTACGTTTCTTGCGAAGAAACTAGGCTTAACTACAGCCTGTCCTGAAAAGCTCTGGATGAGAAAGGTCTATGGTTTTAAAAGCCGCCTGCCTGTTTTAATATGAGCACCCAAGCTAATATAATTTATCAGTCAACAAGATTTATTAATATGGGTTTAGCAGTGCAGTAACACACTGCGAAGGCTCCTGCTCCGAGCTCACTTGCCTCAGGCAGCTCCAAGGGTAGGCAGGGTAGAGCTGCATGTCTGCAAAGGGCTTTGGGGAGCTTCAGAGGGTTTTTTCCAACCAATGTGCATTAGCAAGTCTTCAAGGAGTTTCAGCCCGTTAAACCCTTGCAAGCACTTAAGGATGGGGATTTATGTGAGTGCCAGCCATCCTGTAAATTAAAAAACACAGTAGTGGTCTTCAGGTAGAACAAAAGTTGGAATTTTCTGGGCAAAATTTTGTTAGTGGTATGCCAGATTGAAAATTGTTTGGTTAGCAATGCAGGCATTTTAGGGAAGGAGTATTTTTAGGAGCATCCATTATTTTGTACCCTACATTCCTTTTTTTTTTTTCTTTTATTGTTGTGTTTTGTAATAAAAACTTGTTTAGGTAAAATTGTGTGCAGACTTTTCTTTATATCTTTTGTCTTTTTCAACGTGAATCTGACTTGAATGTGACTCAGAATCACAGTCTATTATTTTATTTTCAGGCGATACTCCTTTTTATGCGGACTCACTAGTAGGAACATACAGTAAAATTATGGATCATAAGAACTCATTACATTTCCCAGATGATGTGGAAATCTCGAAGCATGCAAAGAACCTTATCTGTGCCTTTTTAACTGATAGGTAAGTGCAAGTATTATTCTGGTACTGTTTTTATTTTGAGTGGTATTAGCCCATGTACGTTGCAAAAATTAATTCGTTTCACTACTTCTCCTTACCTCTGTTCAGATCTATTCTGCAAAATCTCCTGCTCTCTAGTTTTTTTCAGGGGGTGTTTTTTTCCAAGTGTTGTGTTTTCTATGAGCAGTTCTGACAGGTCTTGTTAACAACACAGTTTGTGCCAGACAAATCCTTCCAGTTGTGGTGTATTGTACAGTAACCATCACAGAATCATTGAGCCTGGAAAAGACCTCTGAGATCATCAAGTCCAGCCTATGATCCAACACCACCACATGGGCCAGACCAGGGCACTAAGTGCCACATCCAGCCTCTCCTTAAACCCCTCCAGGGACGGTGACTCCACCACTTCCCTGGGCAGTGCATCCCAGTGCCTGAGCACCCTCTCCGTGAGGAAGTGTTTCCTGAGATCCAACCCAAACCTCCCCTGACGCAGTTTCAGGCCGTGCCCTTTCGACCTGTCACTGGTTGCCCGGGAGAAGAGCCCGAACCCACCTGACTGCATCCTCCCTGCAGGCAGTTGTAGAGAGTGATAAGGTCCCTCAAATCATCTGTAAGGCTGGAAGTGATTTGGAAGCTCCAAGGCAGGAACTGAATTGTTATGCTCAGTGTCTAAGCAGGTGCTACTTAAAAAAATAAAAGCAAATACTTTTATGAAAATAAGCATGTGCTTACTGAGTTTGTTTAAGTTTCCTTAAAATATTTGAATTTTTCATTTGCTCTATTGTATTAATTGACACATATATCTAACAAACCAGCAAGGATATTATTTTGGCCATAAGTAGACCCTAGATGTCTCCCTTTGTGGAACTGAGCCATTTATCGATATCCAGCTGTGTAAGCTTGTTCTTGACCTCAGCGCTTACATTTGCTTTAGTTGCAGAGAGCAGAGATCATCTTCAGTTTCTCCGATTTAAAAGAACATTGCAGGTCCGTAGTTAACTCGGGGTCGGTGATGCCTTCTTGGCTTTCCTTTGGTCACCTGAACTTTGATGCAGCACAGCCTTTACAGAAAAAGGAAAAAAGAATAGCTTATAATGGTTTTTCCATTCAAAGAGACATTGTTTGCTCTGTTAAGCAAGATCGCGGTTACTCCGGAAGGATGTGCTTTAACAGCGTTTTTCACCCTTAGTAGCTGAAGAGCAGAGAGAAAATACGAGTAGAATTCAATAATGTAAATGTGGCGAGGTGTACTTCCACTACGTGTGTCCGTCTTCCTGTTTATGTGTAATACAGCCCTCGAGTGATTTATTTGAAACAGATGCCTTCTTTCCGTATGCGTGATCGCTGCTGAAGCACTTGAAGAAGGAATAAGCACTGACTCTATGATTTATTAGTTTTTGGACATGTTGTTTTTATGTCCTGTTCTTGTAGATAGTTCCAAGAGAGACTCGTCTGGTCAAACTTCAAGTTTCTTGTTGCACTTAGGATTTACTTCTGCCGCAAATACCAGTAAAAGATTTGTCAGAGTTCGTTATGGGGCAGAGTATAGAATTCTGAAAATATTTATTTCAGTCCAGCTTTGAATAACTGTTCTGTGCAGTGAGTTAGACCTGCCTTCACTTGCGTCTTAAGGTTTGTCACGTGGTTTGGCAGACACAGAACTTCTGCAGTTTTTTTTTCCCTGAGGGTGTTGGGTTTTTGTTTGTGTTGTAGCATTTTTAGGTTTTTTTCTTATTTTTTGCCTCAGTGCTCTCTTTCTTGCTTTACTCCCCACGTGGCAGATTCCAAATTCTGGATGTTTTAGCAGTCGCAGGGAGAGTGCATGCTAAGGAACAGGGTACATTTTATGTAAGGAACTACAGATCAGTGATTGGTGGTTTTAAAATTATTTTTTTAATTTGACCATTAACGTGCTTAACACAATCAGTCTTTACTAAAAAGTTTCTTTTCTGCTTATGAGCAAAATAGAATTTAAATACATCAAAACAAGTGCTGTTTGTCCTAATGTGAATTTGGCTTAACTGCTATGTTTAGGGATGTGCGACTTGGGAGAAAGGGGGTAGAAGAAATAAAGCATCACCCTTTCTTCAAGAGTGATCAGTGGAACTGGGACAACATTCGAGAGAGTAAGTAAATTAGCTTAAATACTCTATTTTTTTCCAGTTTTGCAATAGTAGACATGAAAAAAACTTCATGCTGCGTAATTTAATTATTCTCAAGAATCTTACTCAAGCTTCCATATTTATCATTTGTGTTATTAAAAACTATCCATAAGGACTAGTAAATATATGTTTTTCCTACTGGAATTATCCTCACTTTATCATAATCTTAATATATAGATTTCTGGTTTAAGCAGTAGAACTGCACGTTTCAGAATTCTAACCAAAAAAAAAAAAGCCTGTTAAGTTTTGTTTCTATCTGGCTTTTGTTTTGTTTGTTCGTTGGTTTTGGCTTTTTAAGTTTCTGTAATTGAGACAGTAGTTTGACAGCAGCCTTGTTAGTTTTACTGCTTTTTGTTTAAGACATTGTGTGCTCGATAGCCTTAGGCAAAAGAAATGAAATGTGTCAGTTCAGGTCGTGAGCTTGGTGGTAACTTCTGAAGTCAGACATTTACTAAAGTTTCTTAAAATGGTGATTGTATTTAGAGTTCTGCTCTCAGCAAATACATTTTGTGCATTAGATATTCTGAGTGTGAGAAAAAATGTTCATGGCAATATTTACAGATCTGCTGCACGGTTAATGCATATTTATCTAGCAGGACAACTTATATTACAGTCTTTTTAGCATTGTAGAGTTACCAGTATATAGCAAGTGACTGAATCCTGGAGTGAAATTGATCTTTTTTCTCCTTTTTATAGCTGCTGCTCCTGTTGTTCCTGAGCTCAGCAGTGATATAGATAGCAGTAATTTTGATGATATTGAGGACGACAAGGGAGACGTGGAAACCTTTCCAATCCCCAAAGCCTTCGTGGGAAACCAGCTGCCTTTTATAGGATTTACCTACTACAGAGACAATTTGTATGTCATACTTCAATGTGCATTTTTAGAAATACACCTGTAGATTTTTATGTCCTATCCTTTTTAAAAATCGAAGTTCAGAATTTATTCATTGCATTCACAGAAAATGTAGAGTTTAACTAGAATATACTTAAGTAGAATATACATTTGCTACTAATTTGGTTATTTTGATAACTGATGAAATGTGGTATTTTCATATGTATAATATTGTGTGGACTCTGAAATTTTTTTTTAGGGTTAAAATACTGATAGATTTGTAATTGAGTTCTAAACCAACTTTTTATTAGTAGCTTTATAAAAAGTTTGTAAAAGATAACAGCTTTCCAGGACTCAACCTGAATAATTAAGAAATAATTATATTAATTAAAGAATTAAAAGCTGCTGTGGATTTGAAAACATTTTATACTTTGCTTAAGAAAAGATTCAAATCAGAAAGATGCACTCACACTGCAATAAGACAAAGTTCATGCTGAGAATAGCGTAGGACAAATTAAGACTTGAGAGAATTGATTAAAAGGAGTTGATTGGCATGGTCACCAGAGTTGTTAAAAACTTGAATAAGAGCTGGAGGGATTTGTTTTTGTTTTTGACAGGTTGCTAAGTGACTCCTCTCAGTCTTGCAGAGAAACTGAATCTGTGCAATCTAGTAAGAATGAGGTTAGTGTCTTTTTTTGTAAGTATTAATGATATGATTAACTAACTTTGTTCGGTCGGTAAGAAAATATGAAGTCTAAAGTAAGTTTTCAAGAAATTTTATGGGGGGCTTTTTGTCTTTTAATGATTCTCAATAAAATGGTATTTTCTGTTTACAGGACAGCAAGGAGGCAAGTATATAATCTGAATTATGAAAGGAATACAAAAATTCCTACATAATTTGTTTGAATGTAAACTATCTTAACAGTTGCGTTCAAGCATTAAGGTACTGCAGTATAAAGATGCCTGAATACTGACTTTTCTCAGATTCTTTTGCCATCTAGAATTTGTCTGAAAAACAAATACATAAGACTCTCTTTGCCACAAACAGCATCACTCTTGGGAAGCTTGTGAATTTTGGCTGCACACTTGCCTGAGTGATTCATGACTGATTAATTCAGGGTTTGAAAAAGTAAATTGTCTCGCTGCACTGCTAAAGGAGTGTTTAAATCGTGCTCCCAGCTGAAGGGAGTGCAGGGAGCATGTTTATCCAGCCTTTGAAGATCAACAATTGAATTTCAATTTGCAGATGACAGGAGAACGCTGTGGAATTTTCATGCACTTACTTCATCATGTTACTTAAGTATTTGTATTATTCAAGTGTAGATAGTATATTTGTAACATTTTTTAAAACTTGCAACTCCTTTTCAAAGTTTAAAAAAATAAGTAAAGGAAATGCATTATGTATTGACCAGCATAAATTTGAATGCAAATGTTTATTAGACTCCACTTCATTCCTTCCTGTCATTGCTGAACAGATTTAATAGTTCTAGAGTTTCCCTTTTAAAAAGAAATGCTAATGCGGTTTAAAATACATGGTGTCACATTCGTGGTATTTGCTTTATGTTGTGATAGTAAACATAGTTGGTAAAATTTTGTGTTTTGCTTCTGACAGCTTTTTTTATTTGTATTTTCTCAAGCAATGGATCTCCATTTTTTTTTATGTCCTTCTCAGTATCCCTGTTCTGGGAATCTTCTAATTTTAACAATTATAAAATGTTTTCGAAAACCACATTTTTACATTTCATGTTTGGGAAGTAGAGGAGGAGGGAGAAGGGAGGAATATAAATGCATTTGAAAGCTTGAAGATATGAAACAAATAAAAAATATTACATAATCTATTATGATATAATTTATTATATAATTTATTATTATATCTATTTCATGAATATTGGAGCGCTTGACTCGCAATTTCTTCTTAATATTTTAGGAAGCAAAACAAAGCATTCCCAAAACTGAAAAGCATTAACTTCTGTACGTGTTAGACTAAGAAATTCTTGTTTATATGAGGTCATTGAGCGTGCTTTGTAACAATCTCTGAATGATGTCTGGTTTGGTCATGTGTCCCCATATTTACTTTTTATGTAGAAAAGATTATCCTAAAACTTCTGCTGCAGTTGTGAGTCTCTGTCTGCAGAGGAGTACAGGGGTACAGGCCAGTTCTGTGCCCGAAGAAATTTTCTGATTCACAGTCTGTGGCACTTAAGTCTGTGATGGTTACATTTAATGCAGCAAATTTCATTGCTATGCATCTGTATCTTTAAAATCGTCAGGATTTATTCATGATAAAGATGTAGCCTTCTAGTCACGGTTTTAAAGTAGTGGAGTGGAAGATTAATTAGTTTTCCTCGCTTTCCCTTTTTCTGTTGTTTAACTGAATTACACTTGTTTTGTGTGATAGTGTTTTTATACGTGGGCCATGCTTTTTTGACGTTTTACAGTTTCAGAAAAAAATAAGCAAGCTAGAAGAGCAGCTCAGTAACGAATTACAAGCCAAAGATGAACTAGAACAGAAGTACAGGTGAGACTGTTTTGACGTGTTTGGTATGTTGATGAAGAGGTTTTATTACACCTTTTGTTTTTGAATGCAAATGCATTTTAATTCACTTCGGGAATTCCCAACCCTACAAGCAGACCTCACTGTAAATTGCTGGCCTAATGCTTGCTACTCTTGTGGCTACTGTTTTATTTCTTTTTTTGTTTCTCCTTAACTCTCCGTAAGAATCCCTCTACTGTTTCAGTGATTTCCCCAGTCCTTGATGTTTCGTGTGATTGCCGGAAATAAAGTATCTTACATAAAATTAATTTCTTACATAAAATTAATGAGATGCATTCAAACACTCTTATTTCTGTATAATCATTAGGGTTTAAAAATATTTTTCAAATTTCTTCAGGTCTACTAATACTCGTTTAGAGAAGATAGTGAAAGAGTTAGATGAAGAGGTAAGTCCGTGGTTATTTCTTGTTGGAATTAGAATTTTAACATTGGTGTGTGGCTTTTTTCCTTAGGCAACAGCAGATTACTTTTGAGTAGCTGTGTATTTATAGCAAGTAAAACCAGTTGATGTCTTGATAATAACGAGCATGAAATTGCTGTCACTGCTGAAACACCTTCATTATGATTTCTGTACTACAGCTACACATCCCAAATTCATTTTTTACCATGTTTTTATTTTGGAAGATAGCGTGATAAAAATATCCTATATGTGATTCTAAGAACTGAAGATGTGAGAGTAATGTTGCTAGAAGAGGAGGGATGTTCTTTGCATTGCTCAAAGAGTATCAGTAACAGGACACCTATTTCATGCCCAGCTTGGTGCCTTAGTGCTGCTACAAATTTGTCGCACCTTCAGCCGACGTGTACGACTTCTTGTATTGCTCAGCCAGGCTTACCTCAAGATCTTGTATTTCATCCATGTTTCACTGCTTCCAGAGTGGCTGCTAGGCAGGTTAACAGATTCGTCAAATTCACACGATCAAGCAGGATTTAAATTGCAAAAGCTCCTGGCTATAGTCATCCTGCGCTGGATTTGACTGTGCGGACTGATACACTGTGTTTGTGCAAAGCAAATAGACTGTGGTTTTTCTCCAGTACAAACTAAGCTGAGTACATGAGCTGTCTTTTTATCATTTAAAGAATTTCTGCATAAAATTAGTGATGTATTGTTGTTGGTTTTTTTTAAATGTATCCAGATAACTTCAAGGAAGAATGTAGAGTCTGCAGTCAGACAGTTAGAAAGAGAGAAGGCTCTTCTTCAGCATAAGAATACAGAATACCAGAGAAAAGCAGAACATGAAGCAGATAAGAAACGCAATTTGGAAAATGAGGGTATGTTGAACCATGCTTGAGAGGTTCTGTTTTGATGTGGTTTTTGAAAGGTCATATAAATGAATTATAGTTGAAATTGAAGCTTTTTCATTACAGCGATTAACAGTATTGTTTTTGTTACAGTTAACAGTTTGAAAGACCAACTTGAAGATTTAAAAAAGAGGAATCAGAACTCTCAAATATCCAATGAGAAGATCAGTCAACTACAAAGACAGGCATGTCCACTTTATATATATATATGTATATTAAGTGTTTTATATGTGTATAAAATACATAATATATGTATTTTAAAATAATAGCTGTTTGAAGTACAGACTTTGCTAGTAGTGGAGGTAATGGAACGTGTAATAGAGTTTTAAATAATGTTTTGATGTTCAGAAGTAATCTTAAAGTGCACTCCTTTTTATTCCTTTAATCCTTGAAAATCTAATATCCTATAGTAAAAATGGTAGCTATTTTAATTGTGAAGTGTGGTTTTTTTCAATCTTCAGTTGGATGAAGCCAATTCTTTGCTGCGGTCAGAGTCTGATACTGCAACCAGGTTAAGGAAGAACCAGACAGAAAGTACAAAGCAAATCCAGCAGCTAGAGGCCAATAATAGAGAACTACAAGATAAGAACTGTCTGCTAGAGAATGCGAAACTCAAACTGGAGAAGGACTTTCTCAATCTTCAATCAGCTCTAGAATCAGAAAGGAGAGATCGAAGTCATGGCTCAGAAATAATCAGTGATTTACAAGGTACTCCTGCAAACGTTAAGCTTGCTTCGTGTTTTGGAAAAAAGACAACAGGTTTTCGTGATGTTACTCAAGCTTCAGATACTGACTAGATTAGTGTGCTGTTCCCTAAGATGTTATATAGACCTACGCGCTCTCTACAAGTACCTGAAAGGACATTGTAGAGAAATTGGTGCTGGTCTCTTCTCACAGGTAATTAGTGATAGAACAAGAGCGAATGGCTTCAAACTGCAGCAGGGTAGGTTTAGACTGGACATTAGGACAGAAAGAGTAGTCAGACATTGGAACAGGCTGCCCAGGGAGCTCATTGAGTCACCATCCCTGCATGTGTTTAAAGGTCATTTAGATGTGATGTTGGAGGATATGGGTTAGAGATGAGCTTTGTAGAGTAGGGTTAATGGTTGGACTCGGTGATCCCAAGGGTCTTTTCCAACCTGAATGATTCTATGAGTCTATGTAAGTGTTGACACACATTTAAAAGAAAATGTGTGACATTTACGATGTTACTGATAACTTTTAAAAAGGGAGATGTTTTTAATAGTCAAAATTAGTAGTTGTTACATTTGAAAATTTTTATCTCTAAGTAGATGAAGTACATTCTTCTTCAACGTACTGCTGAGCCTCATTGTTATTTTGGACATTTTTAGGTCGAATAACTAGCCTCGAAGAAGAAGTAAAAAATGGAAAGAGGGCATTAGCCAAACTGGAAATGGAGAAGAGACAACTGCAGGAAAAACTTACAGATTTAGAAAAGGTAGCAGCACTTCTAAGTGAACATTGGTGTTACATTCTTACGAAATGTTTAAATATGTGCTTTTACTATTTGAGACGTGGATTCAAAATCTGTGCAAAAAAAAAAGCCTTGTTTTCAGTGTTTGGGTTTTTGTATTTTTTGATTTGTTTATCGGTTTTGAAATTGAAAAGTGGGGAAAAAAGACATCATTTTCCATATGATCATAATACATTATACTTCTAAAGTACATAATAACATGCTCCAGTATGTCGCTTAACAGTGCAGTAGTTACATTTCATTTCATCTGTCATTTGCTTTTTTGTTAACTCCCGGTATTGCCAAAAGTAAAATAGCTTCTGCTAGTATATTTTTCAACAAATTTGTCATTGAAATAAAAGTATTGAAAAATTTCTTCAGCAAACTTAATCTTTGAGCTGCCACAGAGTGGTGGTTGTTAAGGCAGTAATTTTGTTATCGTTGGCAACTGGGGATATCACCGTGCATTTTGGGAGCACTTCTCCATCGTAGAAAAGCATTTGTAGAAATGTGTTCTCAGTTAAAACTCCTTGGAGACCGAGTTCTCCTTTCTACTCTTAGTGTATTTCTCAGCAGCGTGTTACTGTTCAAAATTTTGCCGCTAACCTGATGTATTTAATGTTTTTTTGCAATGTAATTTTTTCTTTAACAGGAAAAGAGCAACATGGAGATAGATATGACGTACAAATTCAAAGTCATGCAGCAGAACCTTGAACAGGAAGAAGCTGAGCATAAAGCCACAAAAGCACGATTAGCAGACAAAAATAAGATCTATGAGTCTATAGAGGAAGCAAAATCCGAAGCCATGAAAGGTACGTATCTGACATCACAGCTGAGCTTAGGTGTGGCTTACACAAAAGAGAGAAAATCTTTTTATCCTAGTAGAAGCCTGTGTAGGTTTTTCCTCTTGATTCCCCTTTTCATTTTAAATATAGTGTCATAAAAATCAGTTGTAGTCCTTTTGTCCTTGCTTTGCTAGGTTAAAGACACACTGGTTTAGTCCTGGAGTAGAGCAGCTTCTCCACTGCACATACTGCTCATTCATTTTCTGTGCTATTTTTTCTTAAAGTTATGTTATTAAAATTGCTTGAAACTTCTTTAAGAGCTTATCAGTGCTGTTACTCAGTGTACTCATACCTAAATAAAATATACGTCAGCAGCCTGACAGTTTAAATATGTAGACCAGATAGAGTTGGAAATAGCAAAGCCTTTGCTATGTTACTGTACTCACAGTGAATATTCTGGTGCATCTCATGACAATTGAAACCTCGTGGAGAGAGGAGTAATTGCCAAATAATTCCAGAAGATAGCTCTTACTTTTTAATTTAAGTGGCTCATGCTTATTACAGCTTCTTAAAAAGCTACCTGCAGGTCCTGTCCTTCCAATCACAGAGCATTCACAAAACTTTCGAGCAAGCAGATATTCAAAAGAAGCAAAAATGATTCAGTAATAATGACTGAATCACTTGACATATCAGGTTCCCAAACAGCTTCAACTCTTCAAAGGACTGCAAATTGTAGTCAGAGCAACACATCGTTAGATTTAGATGGATTATTTTTAAAAATCCACCCTTTTTATCAATTGCTGGTGTTCTGCAGGTAAACGGAAGGTTCTCTTGAAACTCAAAACTAGGAAATAGCTGTCAGTCAGGAGTGCTTGCAAAAGCATCCTCTGTGTGTAGGTTGACCGTGAAAATTTTAATGAATCACTTTTCATTAGTCTTCCTCTTCAGCGTTAAATGCATAAACACATTGCTTATTGTTAACATAGGTAAGATGTCCTCCTGCCCTTGCCCTCCAAAATCTGCTCGTTTCCGCTGACTGATGTCTTAAATCTCTTCCTTCACAGAAATGGAGAAGAAACTTTTGGAAGAGAGGGCATTAAAGCAAAAAGTAGAGAATCGATTGTTAGAAGCTGAAAAGCAGCGCTCCATGTTGGACTGCGATCTCAAGCAATCACAACAGAAAATCAATGAGCTCCTTAGGCAAAAAGACATACTGAATGAAGATGTAAGGAACACTGGCAAAAAGTCTGCAGTGGAGCCTGGTTTTCGATGTTCTAATATTTTCCCCATTATAGCTGTATTTAGGAATGCTTGTGAATGAAAATGACACCAACTTTTTCCTTCTTTGCATTTGGAGCTTTAAAAAGTCCCCTTTGTGGGGTGTGGTTTAATTTTTCTGAACTATTTCAGCGTTGCTCATCTTCAGAAGTTTTTCTTCACATGTAAAATACTGTGAGACTGACGCGGAAAAAGTAGCTATTTTTTGTGTACTAATGCCTTTATTCAGGAAACAGCTTTGACTTATCAGAAGATGTGAGCACGTTGTACAAAATTGTAGAGGAAGTCACTAAGAGACACTGTTTAAAAGTGGTTTTCCTGTGTAGTTCTGTACAATTCACAGGTTTCTGTTTGTTTTTCAGGTGAAAAACCTGACGTTAAAAATAGAACAAGAAACACAAAAGCGCTGTCTCACTCAAAATGACCTCAAGATGCAAACACAGCAGGTCAACACCTTGAAAATGTCAGAGAAGCAGTTAAAACAGGAGAATAATCATCTTCAGGAAATCAAATTAAGCCTGGAGAAGCAAAATAACGAACTCCGCAAGTACGCAGTGTTGCTCTGTAGTGTTGGGATTTTTGAGTAATGTTATTGATGTGTAATTATTTGGTGGCAAAAAATGAGAGCGATATTAATTTTAAAAATTTGCTGCACAGAATAGGCTATTCTACAGTGCAATACTTAATTGTTTTTTAAAATAATTTACAGTGGCTCTAGCTGAGCTTTGCCTTGGTGATACAGCAATGTATAGATCTGTAGTAAAAGATGTTTGTTATGCTGAAAATCTTTAAAAACCCAGCTTAACTAAGTGTTTCTGTGAAGTCCTCCCACTCTTGTGTTTAACAGAAAGTCTAGGTACTTTTTTTTAATTACGTAGGACTTGAGCGAAGAGGAAAGTTACTGGTGTTACTAGTCCGGAAGACCTTACTGGACCTGGAAACAAATACAGAGCTCTGAAGTGTAATCATTGGACATGCTGAGTGCTAGAGATATTTAAACACCTGCTGCACCTCCAACAGCAATTCTGTTAAATCCTAGCAGTTCTTCAAGGTCTTGTATGTGATACTTGCACCTAATAGTAAACATTTATTTATTTATTTACTTACTTACATGAAGAACATTCTTGGGAATGAAAAGATGAGTTTACTACATAGGCCAGATGAATCTTATTCTTAGCTCCTTTATGACTTCGGATGGTTTATCTCCTTGTGGTTTATCTTTTCTGTCGGCATGATGCAGTTACTGGTGTAGAAGGTGGCTGCATGTGATGTTTGAAATACCAGCAGAAATCGTTTCTGCTACATTACTGTCCTTTATTGTGGGACTGACTGACTTTCTGAGCTGGTTTAATAACAGATGAATTCAGGAAACAATGCATGTCACAGAACGCAGACGTGTTTTCATAGACTGAGCTCTAGCAAGTGAGAGACCCAAAACAGTCTATCAGATCAGTAATGTTTTACATGGAAATAAAATCATGTTGGTGGCTGCTTGCTTCATCAGTGTCTCGTACAGGTTAGACTGTGTGACTCCGTTGTGGTTAGTGTGTTAACAGCCCTAAACTGGCTTTTTATAAATGCGGTGTTCTCAGCTGTACGAGTGAAAAAGAGAGGTACGCGGAGGAAGCCTCAGGTTTAGTTGCTAACCATGGTCAGGAAATGACTGAAGTGTAGATGTTGTTTTCTATTTACTGGCGTGGAATATTTTCAAATCGTTTCTTTGAAAGTACATTATTTCTTTCTAGGGAACGTCAGGATGCAGATGGACAAATGAAAGAGCTTCAAGACCAACTCGAAGCTGAACAGTATTTCTCGGTGCGTTTTATGCTAATCTGTTTACTAAGTAGAATGTTAGCTTTTCTTCTTCCTTCTCAGCCATGAGATGTTTCACATCTCTATCCTCTAAAGGTAATTCTTTTTCTTGTGTCTGTCTCCAGTCTTGGCCACAGCCTTGTCATCTCTCCTCGTTCTTGAGCACTGGGCTCATGTGTGAAAGAGCTCATGTTAAGAAACGTCCCAGCTTTAGAGGGAGGTCCCAAACACAGTTCAAAGGGACGGAGGAGGCAAACAGCTCATTTTTACACAGTGTGAATAATTTTCTGCATGTTTCAAGCCTTTTGCATTCAGCATCTCTTCCATGCTGAGTGGAAGTGAAGAGCTCTATTCTGAGAATCACGTGGTGTGACAGAACATGAGATTTAGGGCTTGGAAGCACATTTTTTCGCCTTACAGCCAAACTTGGTAGAGATCTGTTGGGAGTTTTTGTTTTATTGTCATAAGGTACAACAGAGTAAATACTTATTGTACTTAAAAATCATCACTAGCATACAGAGGTTCATTTATATTAATAGTGCACAGCCAGTTGTACTGCAGGTAGAGGCCAAAAGACTTGTTTCAGAGTAAAAGGAAACTTAAGATTTTACCGTGGTCTTCAGGTCACTGAGGAGTTTTAGTAGATGAAAAAGTTGCACGTACTAAGGGAGAGAGCTGAGGTCAGTTGGCTGCCGTTGGATGAGCCAGAGAGAGACACTCTGTCTTGAAATCCCTGCAGTAAATCCTCTTGCAGTTGTCTCTTACCCATATTCAGTCACTTGGGCAATATCATTTTTCTTTCATTTCCCTTAGAGTTCTAGATTTGTATCAATTGCACAAAATTCTGAATTTCAAATGGTTTTCTATTCTGGTTTTCCCTCCCTCCTGTACTACTTTTTGCTCCTTAACTGTCATGTTGGCTTCATGGATTTTTATGGTTAAAGTCTAAATTCTACATACCTATCTACGTCAGATTTTAACTTGTAGAGAAATATAAATTATTTTCCTTGCTTGTGAAACTTCTGACTCTCTATCACATAGTGGTTTTCAAATTTAGAGTCTCTTGAACAGTGTCTTTACAAACATATGAAATGTATACCATCCATCCATCCATTCAGAAATGCACAAGTTAAAAAAAAAAAAAAGTAAAATAACCGAAACATTTGTGAATTATGAGGATGTTTATTTGGATTTAGAGAAGGCATTGCACAACTATACTCTGAGTGTGTGATTAGAAAATTGATTACAGCATCATCTTGTACCATTTTGGGGATATTTTAAAGCTAGAATGTGCAAATCATCTTTTATTTCCGTTTTAAAATTCTAGACTCTGTATAAGACACAAGTTCGAGAACTTAAAGAAGAATGTGAGGAAAAGACCAAACTTTGTAAAGAAATGCAGCAAAAGATACCAGAATTACAGGACGAGAGGTGGGTTTTACTAGTTGTACTATTAATCCGTAAAATATTGGAATGGATTTTTGTTGTTTTCTTCTCTCTTTTACTTTTTTTTCTCTTCAGTAACCTGCCATTTGTTAAGCTAATAATATATGTCAATCATTTTCAGAGATTCCTTGGCTGCTCAGCTAGAGATTACTTTGACAAAAGCAGATTCAGAGCAACTTGCACGTTCCATTGCTGAAGAACAGTACTCGGATTTGGAAAAAGAGAAGATTATGAAAGAGCTGGAGATTAAAGAGATGATGGCCAGGCATAAACAGGAACTTACGGAGAAAGATGCTACCATAGCCTCTGTGAGTAATACCAATTGGGATTTTGGTAGAGATTTACATGAGCTTAAATGTTATTTGCAGTTTGACTTACCCATTGTTATTTAGTATACGTAGAGGTAAGTGATATACAGGTATATCTGACATTAAAAATATTTATTTTCTGTGAATGACATAAAAAATGTGTTTTATCATGTTTCTCCTATGCATCAATCTGATCTTTCTGCTGTGCCCCTACTCCTCGTACAGCTGGTCCTCTTACCCTGATTTCTCTCCAAAGCATTCCCTTCTGTCCTGTAATGCCATGTGAGTTCAGTTACATGGTTGTGTACTTTTTGTTTTCTAGTTGGAGGAAGCAAATAGGACACTAACTAGCGACGTGGCTAACCTTGCTAATGAGAAAGAAGAACTAAACAATAAATTGAAGGAAGTACAAGAACGTATGTATTCTGAACCAAATGTAATTTATTTTGAAACCAGTCTTATTCTTGAATAGTACTATTTTCTTCTGTAATGAGCTTTCATAGATTTTTTTTTTTAATTACCTTGCTACAGAAATTACAAAGCTGAAAGAAGAAGAAGCAAATGTAGGAAATATTAAAGCACAATTTGAGAAACAATTATTGAATGAAAGAACATTGAAAACCCAGGTAAGCAAATGTATCTAAATGAATGAAGAGATAACGTCCATGAATCAAATAATTTTAAAGAGAAAATTTGCTGTGGTGAACTATCTATATGTGCCATTAATGCTGTATTCTTTTTTGCCTCTGAAACAAAATACATTGGGGTTTTTTTTGCTTCTACTTAGTAGACTTTCAGTGTAGTGAAACTGCATCCTTATGAGGAATTCTAAAATCCAGGTGCAGTCCACTAGCAAAAATCTTCATTTAAGTCAAATGAATTCCTATTTTACCATTTTCTTTTTTGATTTATATTCCTTTATAAGTTCCATAAAACAGTATATTTCTGATTTTTAATCCAGATTATTTTTTTAGAAGAAGTGGCATTTTAATCCAAAGATAATTTGGGGCTAGGTGGTGAAAACAGAAGGGGGTATTTAAATGCGTAGAAGCATTCCCAGCTAATGCTTGCTTAAAGTGAAAATGGCATCATTACCTTCTTTTCCATTTTGAGTTATACATTGAATTAAAGCAACTTCATAGGACTGGATTGCAGAGATCTTAGTTTGCAGTTAAAAGTGTCTGCTCATAGATACAAGACTTCGTTCACAATACAATTCTGTGTATTTACTGGTGTGGATTTTGTCATTTTTTTCTTTCCCGGGGGAAGGCTGTGAATAAACTGGCCGAGATCATGAATCGGAAGGGTCCAGTCAAACGTGGAGCTGACACCGATGTACGGCGGAAGGAGAAGGAAAATAGGAAGCTGCATATGGAGCTGAAGTCTGAACGAGAAAAGTTAACCCAAATGATGATCAAGTATCAGAAGGAAATCAATGAAATGCAGGCAGTAAGATCCTTTTGCAAACATAAACATTGATAGTGTTTTCGGTAATTCTCATTGAATTACTACAGACTTTAAGGTAGTGGATGCAGTCTCTATTGCCATGACCAAAAGAAATACACAGAGTGTGTGTGTGTGTGTGTGTATATGTATATATCTTGAGATTGTCTGCCAAGGCTGCGTAATTTTCTGCTTACATTTTGTCTGAGTAACTGAGTATTTTGAGAAATCTTATAACTTACCCTTGCAGCAAATAGCAGAAGAGAGTCAGATCCGGATTGAGCTCCAGATGACTCTGGACAGCAAAGACAGTGACATTGAGCAGCTTCGGTCGCAGCTGCAGTCGCTGCACATCGGTCTAGACAACAGTAGCATAGGCAGCGGACCTGGAGATGCTGAGGCAGATGATGGATTCCCTGGTATGTTAATTTTATTACTATTTCTGCATTAATTGGGTTTATATCAGTGTTTACCATAGAAGCTGAAGTATTAAAGTAACGCTCTGATGATTCTGTGGCTTTTCATCTTCGTGGGTTTCCACTATCTCATCAGGGCTTTGACGGTGATCACTGTCCACCTGCTAACTAAATCTGTCTGTAATCATCTTATATTTATTTAAAGAAACTGCTTTCAAAATTCTGTTGTACCCCATTAAGACTAAATATTTTTTTCTCATTTTATTGTGGTTACTGTGTTATGTGATGAAATCTCTTCTTAGGAGATTCTGTTTTGACTTCTTTTCTACCTTTTTCCTTCTTTATGCTTTGTGTTTAGTCCATATCACTCAATCCCACACTATGGAATCCATGTCCTTTACCTACCAGCACTCTTCTACCTCTGTCAGTATTGCCACTAAGCCTTCCAGTTCTCACATGCTTCTTGATTCTGATTCTGACTCAGACGAAGAACCTTTGTCTTGTTCCCACAGCCCTACAGAAGTTGATAGCACAGGTGACATCCCTGAGAACTTTTTGGTTTTGTTCTTACTGTGTCCTTTTCTCTGTTTCAAAACTAACACTATTAATACAACATTGAAAAAGAAAAGAACAAAAAAACAGCAACAAATCTGGCAGCAAACATGGTCATCAGAGACAGAAGAAAGTTTGCATGAACAAATAACTGGCCTGTTTTCTCTAAATATTTACAGATGCTTGTTGCTATTTATAAACCCACCATTTTTATTAAAGCATGGAATAAATGAGCCTCATAGTCTTGTTTTCAGTGTAGCCTTTATCCAGTATGTGCAGTCATCTGTATGTCCCTAGGACACTGGATAACAACAAGTCAAATCTTTGTGATGTCAGAAGTCAAATCTTAAGTGATGTGTGGAGGCGTCTAACTCGTCACCATCTAAATTTACATTATTTGCTTCTAAAAAGTTAGACTGCTGAGTCTTTTTGCTTTGATTTCAATCCTACATTTGATTCTAGTATGGTATGGCAAGCAAAAATTTATTCATTTCACGTACATAAAACATACAGTGAAATTATTTGACTGTGGTAAAACAGAACTTCATTTTACTAATTCTGCATTCATTTTATATGACTACACAAACACTGTGTTGAACAAAACTTCTTTTTAGTGTTAATGTCAGAGGTGGGTTTTTTAATGACATTGAAATTTCTGTATTTCGCTTGCGGTTCTTTTAAAGGGTGAATACCTTTCCACTGAAGGCAAAACTTGTTTTGGGATATTGGCATTACTTCATCAAATTAGAGTAATGAATAATGCATTTCCTCTATTCTCTGCATTCTCTGTTTCTTGCTATGAGGCTTCTACTAAAAGAATCATTAAGTACATTCATAATTTTTTCCTTGTTAGCTGCTGTTGTGGTATCTGCATGATTTTGTGTTGTTCTAAAGTAAAAATCATAGTTAAGCTTGGACTTTTTGCTGACATAATGACAGCAGACTTGAGGTATGATAGCTGTTTGGGGTTTTCCCACCTAAAGCTTATAAGTATGTACTGTGAAAATTGAGGAATATTCTGCCCTTTCTCTGATCTGTTAGTATAGAATGGACATCAAAAATGAAGACATGGAATCAGAAACTTTCCTTTTGTCCAATTTCATGCGATCGTTTTAGAGATTACAGAGAAAAATAGGAAAAATCTTAATTCATGTGTTTTTCACACCATTAACAAACTACCCCTGCTTCCTGCATTTGGAGAAGGACTTTTTGAATCGGCATTATGCTTGTTACCTTTTGTATCAGGTGTAGTTGAAAGAAACAATTCGAAGTTGAGGGTATGAGGCAAAATACAGAAAACTTTCATGGAGTTGGTATGTATATGAAATTGTGTCATCAACAGCAATGCTTAAAGAGCAATAAACTCTGAAGACAGTGCATATCTGAATAAGTAACTTTGCTTTAAGACTCTCTAGACAAAATTAGACTTCTATGAATATCGAATAACAATTTGTTATTCTTTCTTAAACATGAGCAGGAGCCTGCAAGTGTCCTCTGATGAGAAGGAAAGTAGCTTTGGCAATTTTGGAGCGTGTTTCCAATCCTTTCATGATTTTGTGTTTCTTAATATTTAAGGTTTCAGTATTTTTGTCTTGGAAGTTCTTCAGCAGAAATGGAGGTTATCTGCAAGGGTGGGAAACTCATTAGAAAAATATCACTGTAATTGAGTAGTTCCCCTTATTAAAATGTAGGGGAAAGAAATGCTAGTATTAAGTGAAGCTATAAAAACAGGGTCAATGGCTGTGCAATGCTAAGTGTTACCAAGCACTAGCAAAGTGTGATCCCCTTGAGCTTTCAGTTGCTGTTGAAATGTGTATGTCAAACAACAGCTGAGCTGTTAATACTGTTGATAAATCTAAAGTGACTAATCTGCCAGTGTAACAGAAAATATTGCAAGTGTGTGAAAGGGCAGCTGAATATAGGCAAGTCCTAAGGATTAGCCAAAAATTACTTATTTTGGTTTAAAAAGCCTACAAGGTATTTGTGAAATTAGAAAAAAAAAATTTATGGAGCAAAAAAATAAGGATTATATTATTAAACGTCTGAAATTTTACCTGGATTAGAGAGGCTATAGCTTATTTGTGATGGTAATTTGCCTTCTTTTGTCTTGAACTGGATGTCGTGTGGTCTGTACTAATATCTTCAGACGCTGCTTTGAAAGGTAAAGGTTGATGGACATAAGCACTCTAAGTCTTGAAAAAATTACTAAAGAGAATGTGTGTGCCATAATTGCAAGTTTGCTCTTCCCCTTCTTCCTCGTACCTACTGCTTTTTTGTGATCACATTGTTGGTTATTGGCTCTATTCAGGAATACACTATTTAATTAATTCCTGAACATGTATTGTGGTAAACTTTTCAAGACCTTGTAGTTTTAAATAGCTCGTGTTCTCATGGTTGCTCTGCTGCTTTATTATGGATCTTCGATAACTACTTGTAAGTGCACAGCAGTCTGAAAAATAATGTTTCTTGGACATTTATGTTCTTTAATATATATCTTCTTTTTCAGAATCCAGACTGGAAGGCTGGCTATCACTGCCTGTTAGAAATAACACTAAAAAATTCGGATGGGTTAAAAAGGTAAGAAAAACAGATGCATGATCTTGTTTCATGTGTAGTCTGGATTTTAAACTTACTGCAGGTTTTCAACACTTTAATTTTTCTTCAATGTTCTCTCATTACTTAAATGTATAAAATATGTTAGCTGGTATAGCCACGTCTGAGAGGAGCAAGTTAAGATACTGGATAAAGCCAGAGGTGAGAACAGCTATTCATGATCTTCAAATATTTGTACATTCAGACATAAGCATTCCCAGCAGCATATCATAGCTGGAATTCAGATAATTCTGGAAGCAGATGCCCTTGACAAATTCTTTATTTAGGAGATAAAACTAACAACTACTCATCTGGCTTGTTCAGCGTTTACTGCTTTTCAGTAACCTCTTTGATGGGTCTTTGCCCAAAGAGTAACATACACGTTTTCATACCAGTTCACTTACTGCTCAGTCAGACTGTTCATTCTGAAAACAATTCTAGCAATAGGAGGTCTTATAGGTAACTAGTTTTTAATGAGAATTGCTAGCAGTGCTAGTAAGTGTAACAGTGACCTTTGAGCACGATGCCTGTTAGTTGTGAACTGCACATGTAAAACAGGCATCGTAAGATGACGGGTACTCTCACTGGCAGTCCAAGTGAAAATTAAATCAGTAAAATAGAAATTAAAAGCTTTTATCTTACTTTCTTCCAGACTTTCATTTTCATCTCTTCATAGGTACTTAAATCTTTTTAAATGTCACTTGATCTGATATCATAAATGGATTTATCAGGTGATCAGAATTTCGTTTGTTGTGCAGTGAATTTATTGGCAAATCATGAGCTTAGCACACAGTACTACCCACTATCCATTTAGCTACCATTTAATAAAATTGTTAAAAGATATTGCTGTGACATCAGTGGGAACTGCTGTGACATCTTTGACATCTGTGTTGATCTGGATTAAAATGTGTACTTTATCATTTTCTATCTCCTAACAGTATGTAATTGTAAGCAGTAAGAAGATCCTGTTCTATGACAGCGAACAAGATAAAGAGCAATCAAATCCCTACATGGTGTTAGATATAGAGTAAGTATTTTCATGTGAGATTCCTTCTTCTGATTTGTAGGTGAATTTTTGTCCAAAAGACTTTGACAGAAGGCTTTCTGAGGTCCAATCTGGGAGCACATCACCAACCAGGGCGCACTTTTGTAATTTGAACAACAGAGTTGGGGCCTTATGTGTCCGCTGTGATGAGGAATTGCATTTGCTCTAGGCAGTGGTGCAGCGGTTGTGTGGTGCTGAGGCCTGTACAGGGAGCTCCCCTGAGCTCTGGGCTAGCTGAACTGCTTCTGCTAGCTCAGCTAGACCTGCCTCACATACACAGGGTAGCAAAAAACAGGAAGAAGACCGTAGCAGCGAGGCTGTGATTTTCAGTGTTTGCACATTTTCACTTACAACGTGTCCTTACAGGTGGATTGTGTAGTTCCCAGAATCACAGAACGGTAGGGGTTGGAAGGGAGCTCTCAAGATCATCTAGTCCAACGCCCGTGCTGGAGCAGGATCACCTTAATAAATGCTGAATGTCGATATTCAGAGGCTGGGGTGTGGGCAGAGGGCTGGAAAGCTACCGGCAATCGTTAAAGTCATATGATGTTGCTTTTTCAGTGCTGTGATTTTTTTCGCACATGTTGGTGGATACTTGCAACGTCTTTTTATTTAGGGTTTTTGGAAGTTCATGTGCAGGACTGAAGGATAGGACTTTAATCAAGTGATTAGGGATTTGTACTGATGATTCTTTAATGACTCTTAAAGCGATATGTTGTATCCTAACTTAATCTGTCAATATAAATTTATCATTTTGGTAACATTAATTTTTGTCCTTATTGAAATAATTTCCTACAGCAAACTGTTCCATGTCCGACCAGTCACCCAGACTGATGTGTACAGAGCAGATTCCAAGGAAATTCCTAGGATATTCCAGGTATTCAGTAACAAATTAATGTTTCTAGCGTAACCATGGTATTTCACACATCGTTAAAGATACTTTCATAGCTTTGTCTAATGAAATACTAAAAAATCCTTGAAAAAAATTGACTCGATCTTTGTACTTAGTTAAGTACTCTGGATTTACATTTGTCATCTACAAGTACTGAGTTTTTGCTTTGTTTCTAGATTCTATACGCTAATGAAGGAGAGAGCAAAAAGGAACAGGAATTTCCTGTGGAGCCCATGGGAGAGAAGTCAAATTACATTTGCCACAAAGGACATGAGTTTATACCTACTCTTTATCACTTTCCAACCAATTGTGAAGCTTGCATGAAGCCACTGTGGCATATGTTTAAACCTCCTCCTGCTCTAGAATGTCGCCGTTGTCATATCAAATGTCACAAAGACCACATGGATAAGAAAGAAGAGATTATAGCACCTTGCAAAGGTAAATAGCAAGTATTTGAATGTGCGTGTAGTTGCAGGAGTCACGAGGTGTTCTAGGTCAAAGGTTTGACACCAGCTAAACATAAGCAGGTAGTTTTTTCTTTCATTATTATGTAGTTGTCTGAACCTTTTTAAGGGTCTCGACATGACTATTGGCTCGCTGCTATGAATTAATGGCACGTGGCTGTACACGTATATACCTGCTGTGTCGTCAGCCTCGTGCCGTAAGTCGAGGCAGTGGTAAGACTGTTCACACCGGGTGCTGTGCTGTGTTGCTACGCCGAGCGGTGGTGTTAGTGCGTGTTATGACATAGATGACAGTCAGTGAAGTTTATACCTGGAAACTCACTTCACAGTTTCCTGAGCTCAGGCACACCTCTTTGTCGTACCCTCTCTTGGTTTTTTGTGTGGATCTTCCATAGTACTAAGTTGTTACCCTCTGAATGTAAGGAAGAGGCACTGTTGGCAGCCAGGAAACAAAGTTTGGCAAAACCTGGTTCACTTCGTGTTTGATTTCTCTTTGTGTTGACTGTGAGAGCATGGTCAACTCAGTTTTGATGTGGGGATGTGTTTAGAATAATAATATCCTTATTACAGTGTACTACGATATTTCAACGGCAAAGAATCTTCTACTGTTAGCTAATTCTACGGAAGAACAGCAAAAATGGGTGAGCCGACTGGTGAAAAAAATACCCAAGAAGCCTCCAGCACCAGACCCCTTTGCTCGATCTTCTCCCAGAACTTCCATGAAGGTACAGCCAAACCAGTCCATCAGACGACCAAGTCGACAGCTTCCTCCAAACAAACCAAGGTGACACAAGAGCTGCTCTTTAATTTATTGTTTTGAACGTTTTGTCATCTATGTTGATAGGGATAAATGCCCACAAATACTGTTGATTGCTGACATGTGATGTAGCGTGTTGTCTTCCGTAAACCGCAGTTAAGTTACAGGAAGACCCGTGATGTTTGTTCCCCTGTTTCAAGGACCTTGCATTGCCATTGCTCATGCTGACGACGTACCCTGTGGCTCTTACGTGGAACAGGCAGAACACGCAGCGTCATCTCTCGCCTCGTAGTTCCTGTGAACTGGTGGCCAGTAGGGAAAATGAGGTTTAATGAGGCAGTGAGTCGGTGAGAGGGGTGTGAAGATTTGAACAAACAAGAAAATAAAAAACAGGTTTAACCATTTTCAAGATGGTCACTACTGTACCTGGTTTGAACCTTGGAGAGAATGAGGTGCCTTCAAAAAGCAGCCTAGGAGGCCTTGCACGTCGCGAAAGACTACATGTCTTTTATTTCTTACTGCGTGGTTTTGAGGTGTGTTCTTGAATTCCTGCCCTGCTCTAAGATTCGACACCTGATTGTAGATTTGTAGGCTAAAATGCATTTCATTAGTTAATGTTCAGGAAGAGTTGTTTTCAGGATTCACATCGTCCTAGTGCAAAAGAAGAGCATATGGCATGCTCTTGGACATGGACAGTGAAAAGCTAGTTCAGGTGAATCTCTCTTGTGCATCTCTGCCCATGCAGTTCCAGAACGTGGAGCCTGCTGCTGCAGTGGCGGGTGCCTGTCTGAGCGTCACTTGGGCTTTTGGAAAGAGAGCAGGAAGGTGGGAAGTGAGGGAGGTCACCAGTTTGGTCAAATAGCTGGAGCACTTACCAAAGGGTGGGAGAATTGGTTTCAGTTCCTGATTCAGCCTAGAGGGACTCACGCTTATGTCTCACAGTTTTTAAAAGAATGTTCATATGAAGTGCCTCCAATTTGAGAATGAAAATATCTATACAAAAGCCAGTAATCTTTTACTGGGTCAGTTTGGAGGAGTGAAATTCTATACTGTACTCTGGAAGCAGTAACAGTCTGCAGGTGGTGCTTGGGTGATTGCACAGTACAGAATTTCTGGGGCTTTTTCTCAGGTTGCTTTTACCTTCCCCTGGAGTACTTGCTAATACTTGGTTATATCAGTCCCCGACTGCTGACAGCCCGTGAAAAGTTTGGTCTGACTTCAGTTTGTTGCAGTATTCCAGCAGCGATGGACAGTTCAGTGAAGGCCAAACATTTTTCCCCAGAGAGGTAATTTGGCAGCAGCTCTGCAGGGCTGCTCTCCTTGTTTCTGGGACCAGACTGCCATCAGTATCGGAGACGACCGTTTGAAAACTGGGTGGGGTGATTTGGCAGAGTTACAGCGGGGAATGCAGTGTGAGCGTGCTCGTACTGTGACGCTGCTGTTACCATAAAACAGCTTTATGCTAGGGACAGTTAGATCTTAAAACAAATACTGTGTGGAAATACATGGTGAAAACACTTAAAGGAACTTAATTTCACTTCCCTTCCAACTAATTTTTGGTGATTTACTTTACATATTTACAAGAAAGTCAGACCTCATAATTTGGGTTTTAAATGATTGGATTTTTTTTATATATTATAATCATGATGGTAGAAAGTTTTTTAACCACTACTTTTCCTGAGCAATTATTTAAGAGTCTCTTTGTGAAAAATTAACCAAAATACCAATTATCGGATTGAAGCATGGATCAAGGAAACATTCATAACAGCTTGGGGGACAAGTAGAATGCTTTTCTTCTGCATAGTGTTTGCAGTCTAATTCAGTAGTGTTATTCAGTTTCTTACAGTTGACATATAAAGGGTATGTTATAAATTCTCATTCTTTTTCCACAGCTATTCTGAGGTGTTCTGAAAATGTTTTTTCTCCTTCTTGCAATCTTCATGACCTTTATTACCAAATGCTTTCGTAACATTTACTCTTACCATTCATTTTAGTTCTGGTCTTCCTCCACTATGAATCTCATCTTAATTTTTTTTCTATCTGTGTAATTTTCTATCTTTATATTTCGTAATGGTGGGAAAAGGAAGAGGATGAATATTTTTGTGCATAAACCATTTTATTTTTGTAGTTAAACTTTCCAAGTTAGCTTTCCAAACGTCCCTAGCATATGGAAAAGTGTAGTTCTGTGAGGTTGTGTCACCTATCACATTACTTATGCAGGTCTGTCAAAAGAGTGGAAAGTTGTATGGATTTAAACACTTAATTAAAAACCACATACTTATAAATTACTGTAATTGCTACGACCAGTTTATATCTGATGGGTCCTTCTGTGAGGTTTTTGTACATGAGCTTCCCATATGGAATAATTAATTTTCTGTTACAAACTTTTATTAAGAATGAATCTGGGGACTGGCTGGGGACAGGCCAGAGGGGAGCCGGCAGCAGGTGCTGGCAGCGAGGCAGGGACTGCATCCCGAGGAGAGCAGCTGGGTGATCGAGGGAACAGGTTGTCCCCCTCTCCTCACTCCTTAGTCCCCAGCAAGGTAGCTCCTCTGCTGAAGGCCCCCAAATTCAAGCCAGGCATGGACAAACTGGGGAAAGCCAAAGCTACCAGGATGGTCCCAGCGGAGGCCTGAGGGAGCTGGGCTTGTTCAGCCTGGGTGAGGGACATGTCCAGGCAGGAGGGGTGGGGGTATCGTAGGAGCCTGCCCCTGCTTGTGAGGATGGAGCCAGGCTCTTCAGCTGAACCAAGGGAGGGGCTCAAGTTGAACCAGGAGAGATTCTGCCTGGGTAGAAGTCAAAGCCCGTGCAGACAGCCTGGCAGGGAGGGAGGCTGGACAGGCTCCATCCCTGGAAGCTTTCAAGACTAGACAAAACCTTGAGCAGCCTGGGCTGGCATTGTCACTTACCCTGCTTCGAGCAGGACATTGGGCTAGAGACCCTTCCAACCTGCATGGTCCTATAAATGCTGTCTGTGTTAGGAATGTCACACAGTGAGCATTTCTCCAAGGTTTTCATGGCTTTTAGTCTGTGGTGGTTTAAGCAAGGGCAAACACATTTTTTATACAGAACCATAAAATTTCTGCTTATCCATTCGGTTGGATCGTGCCAAAAGGACAATTCCAAATGGGAAAAAACCAATTTCAATATATTTTACTGCCTAATAAATTCTTTCAAGTATTTTAGAAATTACAGTAGCCATAGTTCATATAACAGATGAATACTGAGCCCTTTCAGGGGTATATCACATTTAAAAGGTAAAAGCTTTAGAACTCAAAACTCTCAAAAAACGCTGAAACCCATTTTGTTTAAAGCATGTGCTTGACTATATTAAGCACTGTAGCATGTTTTAGTTAAAACACACTGAGTGTTCTGTTAGGGTAAGGTTTCTGTCTCTGCCCTCTGTGGTTGGCATATAATCCTGTAAAATCCACTAGGCTCGTTACAACGATGACTGGAGTGGGTTTCATTTCTTGTCGCTATAGCAATGGAGAAGTTAGTACTTAAGACTAAGTCCAAGATCCTTTAATAACAACAGAAAGAGATGAATGCTTCCAGACAATGATTCATGCCATCCCAAAATAAATGCCTAAAATCAGTTAAATGACTCATTTGCTGACAAGGTTTGCCTCACTTGCTTTGTTTCTTCTGTAGTGACCGTAGAAGGAGTGCAGCCAGTGAGGCCTAGAGAACAAGATGATGGTGTTTTGGCATTGCTTGGCTTTAAATAATGAGCTACAGGACAGCTGTATAGCGTGATCCCACTGTATGTAGGATACAGTAAAATCCTACTGTATTTGTTTGTCAATTCTGATGACGGTATATTACTTGATGTTCTGTTCAGCAATCAAAATAATTTGATTCTTCTTGGAAAAACTTATTAGCCTTGCATTATTGTCAGGAAGGGGATAGCAGGAGAGCATAAAATTGCACCTCGGCCGACAAGAACAGCAGCAAATCAAAAAGGAGCTAATTTTATGAAATGTTGGGCTTTTGTGCTGAAATTTCTAGGGAAAAATCCATATGGTAATTGTTCTGTAGAATTGAGTTACTTATGAGATAAATTTCTGATGAATACAATATTCCTGGCTTACAGGAACACTGACTCAAATCTTTATATTCCATGGTAGGCAAAGGAAGGAACCACCTACCGTTACACAGACTTTGCTTAAAAAGGTGTAGTGATAACAAAAGGAATTTTGAAGTCTTTTATAGAAGCATGACACACGTTAAACATCAAACCCTCCTGTTGCAGATTACTTGATCTGGCATTTAAGGACTGGGATTGGTCATTTGATGATGTTGATGATATTGATGATGATGATGATGATGACGATGTTTTTGATTTCTGAAGAAGTATAAGGGGTAAATCTAAATAGAGAGGAATGGATTTGTTTGCCTTTGAATACAGCATGCTATGTTGGATTTTGTTTCTCAAAGCAGAGAAAATATGAGATCTCATTTTAGTATTTTAAACAGTAAAAATGAGATTCTAATCCTTATGTTGATGAATTTTTAGAGGAGTAATTTTCATTAAAAAAAAGTTGCCTTTGTCAGTGGTTTTTTCTCTCTAATTTTACATGGTTTTTTTAAAATTCATGTCTGCCTGCCAAAAACCAGAATCTGCTGTAGTTGCTCGTCTGTAGTGCTAATGCTCTAACCTCTGCAGGTAATCTGTGAAGGCTAAAAGAGAGATTGTAGCAGTTGGGTGTTTAGCTGGAACAGTATTTACAAGTACTTGCCATTTTTAAGCTTCTAACATAAACTGACTGGTCCGTGGCTAGCAGACATGAAATCATTGGAGTTTCTGCGTTTTGCTTTTCTACCTGTGTTATGAAGTGAATCTGACTTGGCTTTCCTTTGCAGTGCTGTGCTTTTTGGGTACCTAACCATGCATTTGAAAACTACAAATGGGCTTGGTGGTTCCCATTGTACGGTTTCCTTGACTGCTCTAGAAAAGATAACAGCCGTTTTGTTCATCTCCTTTGCCCCGTGGCTTACTTAAAACACGTGATTTCAATGTACTGGAATTAGTGATAATTATTTTATCATTCTCAACGGTTAATCGTTTTCCACGTTGATGCAAAACCGCATATTGTTAAATTCCTAAGAATTCTTTTGAACAGTACATATGGTGTGTCTCAGCTTTACGAAAGATGGGGCGACGGCAGCAGCACTAGGGCTGTACCTCGGCTGTGCACGCAGCTGACTGAGATACCAGCTCTCGCAGAACCGCCTGCCTTACTGTGTACAGTTAATTAAATATACTGCATCTTTATGTGTTAAAAGCTTGCAAATGACTGATCTTTTAGAAGCGACTGTTACGCAGTGCGTGTTGTACTTTACCCTCCTGTATTACACGGGGCTTTAATTGGTTTGGGATCATAATGCATAAGGATGTGCTGTACTTAAGTTAACGGTGCTGCTGAATGCAGAGGAATGACGTTGCTCCCAAGTGTGCTGAGGAGCCCGTCTTAGATTTCCTTAAACTCTTCATCTATTTTTATCACATTGTTTGTTGCATTTACTGACTGAACTTCTTGCTTCTTTTTCAGCTAACTGCTTTCTGTGAACGCAGACACAATTCAAGGTGATAATTTTTTTCCCGTTACAGCAAGACTGAAACATATCCCAAAATATATTAAAAAATATATATTTTCCTGAGAGATTGTGTTATATATATCAGAGGTTTACATTTTTGCTGCAGTATAAAGTACTAATCTCTGAGGGTTTTCCTGTATTCTCCTGAGTGACTGATCAAATGAGGGTTGACTGGTAAATAGTCAAAGGATATGGTAGGTAACCTTTTAAACTCTGTTCCACAAAAGCTTTCTTGGCAGGACACACACACACTACATTTCATAAAAGGATCGAGAGGAATGAATGATAAAATGGAAGAAACTGACTTTTCAGCTTTTGTAAAGATGCCACCAGCACGCCTGCAAGAAGACCAGGAGGAGGATCCACCGTAGTGATATAGACTGCATCTGTAAGAAGTGACCATTATACTGTGTATATATATTGTACTGTAATACTGCAAGAGGGTTTTAAAAATCTTTCCACTTTATTTTTTTATGCTTATTAATCAGATACCGTTACTTATTGCAGTTGCAACTATGCACTTGTATAAAGCCATAACATTGAAGTTTAAATCATTCATCCACGTCTATCAAAAGCTGCATGTCAGTGTTCAGCAGCCAGTGTAAGTTTGAAGTATATACTAGTTTCAGCTACATCATCATGGGCAGTCCTGTTTTTCCTGTCTAATTGCCTTAATTTAATTTTTTTTTCCCAGTTTTTTGCCCATTCTCTCTATTTAAGAAAGAAAAGGTTTACCAGCTCTTAGGATGCAATTTTGCTTTGTGGCAGAACAAATAGTGCACTATTCTTACACCTCTTAAGTGTATCAATGTCAGCCTATTTTGAATGTATATCGACTGGTTTTAAGGGCGGAGAAGCGTTGGTTACAGAAACAAGTCTGATACCATTGGAATTACCAGACCATTTGCTTGTACATGTAACTGCTCAGCCAGCCCTTTTTACAAACCTCAATATTAGTTCTTGACTTATATTAACCCTCATTAAGTGCTATGAAACTTCATTTTGCCTTCTTTTTGCATACTCTCCTAGATGTGGGGTTTTTTTTATTTCAGGAAGAAAAAAAAAATAATCTGTGACTATTTTTACATTTCACAACACAATACCCAAGGACTGTCATAAACTTTAAGACAAGTAAAACATACTGTAGGTGTATTTTAAAATTTTAAATCTGGTTCTCTAGCACATAGCTGTAGGCATAGATAAATATTTCAGTAGTGTGTTTTGAGAACTGATAGCTGGGAAGAAAAGGCCTCAGAGGCACTTGATCTGACTGTAATTTTTTTTTTTTTTAACTTGGGACTTGTACAAAAAATATAATTTATGTGGGCTCATTCATGATGTGTTTATAATATTCCCAGAAAATGCATGTTTTATACAACTACAGTATGCGATGTTAAACATATTGACAGTAAAAAATGTAGTCTCCTATTTGGTCTCTTTATATA